GAACACTGATGTTATTAAAACATATAGAGAACACTGATGTTATTGAAACATACAGAAAACACTGACGTTATTGAAACATACAGAAAACACGAACGTTATTGAAGCATATAGAGAACACTGATGTTATTAAAACATACAGAAAACACTGACGTTATTAAAACATACAGAAAACACTGACGTCATTGAAACATACAGAAAACACGAACGTTATTGAAGCATATAGAGAACACTGATGTTATTAAAACATACAGAAAACACTGACGCCATTAAAACATACAGAAAACACTGACGTTATTGAAACATACAGAAAACACGAACGTTATTGAAGCATATAGAGAACACTGATGTTATTAAAACATATAGAGAACCCTGATGTTATTGAAACAAATAGAGAACACTGAAGTTATTAAAACATACAGAGAAGACTGGCGTTATTGAAACATACAGAAATCGCAATACGCCAATTGTGTCAACATAGCGTGAAGTAATGTTGCATTTGTCAATGAGAAATATTTAGATATTGTGGGTGCATAAATCCATGGATAAGCGCTACCAGACAAGTCACCGCTGCGTCCCACCTTGACATCAAGCCAGCAGTCTTTACAGTAGGTGAATTTGCAGCCTTCAGTTTCGCAGTCGTGGAAGTCGTTGTTTTTTGGATCCTCACATATGAGACACGTGGGCTTGGCTTTAGCGAATCTCTCCAGGCACTTGCAGCACCGCGGGAACTCTTGCACAAGGGCACTGAGCACACCTGTAGGGTGCTGTGTGGAGAACACATACAGGTAGGTCAAACATCAAACAACTGAAGCACTGAGCACACCTGTAGGGTGCTGTGTGGAGAACACATACAGGTAGGTCAAACATCAAACAACTGAAGCACTGAGCACACCTGTAGGGTGCTGTGTGGAGAACACATACAGATAGGTCAAACATCAAACAACTGACGCACTGAGCACACCTGTAGGGTGCTGTGGGGAGAACACATACAGGTAGGTCAAAAATCAAACAACTGAAGCACTGAGCACACCTGTAGAGTGCTGTGTGGAGAACACATACAGGTAGGTCAAACATCAAACAACTGAAGCACTGAGCACACCTGTAGGGTTCTGTGTGGAGAACACATACAGGTAGGTCAAACATCAAACTCATTCAAATCAGATCTAAGTTATCGCTGCTGCTAAAGAAAGGTTTGCGGTCAGCCTATTACGGGTTACGTCACAACGACCTTTCGCGAACTTGAACCGACCATCGAAATTACTAACAAGAAGTCGACATCAGTCAATTAGAAAGCAACTGTCACATTCCGACTGTCACTTCTGGTAAGCGACATTTTGATTAGTCGGATGAAAGGTCGTTCTGACGTGACCCGTAATCGGATGTCCTCATATCTTTGTTTGTTTGTTTGTTTGTTGTTAAACGCCGCACTCAGCAATATTTCAGCTATATGACGGCGGTCTGTAAATAATCGAATCTGGACCAGACAATCCAGTGATTGACATCATGAGCATCGATCCACGCAATAGGGATACGATAACATGCATCAACCAAGTGAGCGACCCTGACCACCCGATCCCGTTGGTCGCCTCTTACGACAAGCTTAGTCGCTTTTTACCGCAAGTATGGGTTGCTGAAGACCTATTCTACCCCGGGTCTTCACGGGTCAACAAACCAACTGAAGCACTGAGCACATCTATGTGACGCTGTGTGAAGTAAACATACAGGCAGGCCTGACACAAACAGATAGCGTGGGTATACGTAAATATTGTGTGGGTTTACGTACAGATGGAGTGAGTATACCTTCAGATGGTGTGAGTATTCATACAGTTTGTGTGGGTATACGAACAGATAGTGTGGGTATACGTAAATATTGTGTGGGTTTACGTACAGATGGAGTGAGTATACCTTCAGATGGCATGAGTATTCATACAGTTTGTATGGGTATACGAACAGATAGTGTGGGTATACGTAAATATTGTGTGGGTTTACGTACAGATGGAGTGAGTATACCTTCAGATGGCATGAGTATTCATACAGTTTGTATGGGTATACGAACAGATAGTGTGGGTATACGTAAATATTGTGTGGGTTTACGTACAGATGGAGTGAGTATACCTTCAGATGGCATGAGTATTCATACAGTTTGTGTGGGTATACGAACAGATAGTGTGGGTATACGTAAATATTGTGTGGGTTTACGTACAGATGGAGTGAGTATACCTTCAGATGGCATGAGTATTCATACAGTTTGTATGGGTATACGAACAGATAGTGTGGGTATACGTAAATATTGTGTGGGTTTACGTACAGATGGAGTGAGTATACCTTCAGATGGTGTGAGTATTCATACACTTTGTGCGGGTATACGTAAATATTGTGTGGTATACGTACAGAATGGAGTGAGTATATGTGCGATTTGAGTGAGTACACATACAGATTTTGTAGGCATACCTACAGATAGAGTATACATACAGATATAGTTGGAAGATGTTCAAAAAGTGCGAGTATACAGGCAGATTGTGTAGGTATATATACTCACAAGCCAAAGAAACGCAAGTGGTTTTAAGCAAATAGGTAACAAACACGGAGCCATAACTTGATACGAGTTTTAGTATTTAGTGAAGCCTGATTTTTGAAAGCCCCGAGTAAAAATGAATCGCCAAAACGCACCATTTCAATCAATATGTGGGTATCATGCACCCATTTCCCGCGAAATCGAAAATGTACGAACTGTCACGAACTGTAGGGGGTATAAAACTGTGGCCGATTCTTAACCTACCACTCCTTGGTCAACAATACCACGCATAACTCAAATTCAGAGAAACCAGGCTATCGGATGTTTGGAAGCTGGAGCGTCTGTCCAAGATGCTGCCCGTAATTTCAACGTTAACATAACCACAATTTACCGTCTCCTGCATCGATACAATGCTACACAGACCACAGATGACCTTCCTCGGAGCGGTCGTCCTAGGGTCACCACACCTCCACAAGATCTGCAGATTACCCGTCAACACCAGCGACATCCGTTCCTAACTGCAAGTGAAAGTGCTCGACAGACCATTGGAACACATAATCGACACATTAGCCGGGACACTCTGATCCGATGTCTCCGTTCCAACAACCTCAGATGTCGCCGACCAGCACGTCGTCCTGTTCTCCAACCACGGCATCGACAAGCACGACTTCAGTGGGCACAGGGTCATCACAATAAGCGTCATCGTGAGTGGAGGCGTGTCATCTTCTCTGATCAAAGTCGCTTTTGTGTCTCCCATGCAGACGGAAGAGTCAAAATTTGGCGGCGTCGATGTGATCGTTTCGCTGACAGAAACGTTGTGGAAAGGGATCCATGGGGTTGACCTAGCGCCATGATATGGGCAGGGATTGGACTTAATGCGAGACTTAAACCCATGTGCTTTCTGAATGTTGGTCAAGGTCGGGGACACGGCGTCACTGTTCACCGGTATATCGACCAAGTGATCAGACCCCACGTTGTTCCTTTTTTTGCACAACATCAACAACACATTTCCCAGCAGGTTAATGCTCGTCCCCATGTTGCCAGAGCTACCATGGCCTATGCAACAACACAACATCCGTGTTCTACCGTGGCCAACCCTCAGCCCTGATCTGAACCCTATCGAACACTTGTGGGATGAGGTTCAAAGGCGTCTGCACAATGTGCGCCCGGTCCCTACAACTGCCGATGAACTACGCACAGATACTCTGGATGTGTGCAGGAGGATCCCTAGGGCCTTCACAAATCGTCTGATTGGTATGTCTTGTCTTTACTGTTGAAAATGAATAACATGTATACTGAATACTCGACTTGTGTTTCCTTTGCGTGTGAGTATAGATAGATACATAGTTGGGAAATCTAAATATATAGTGGTAAATGTATATATAATGAGAACATGTACAAATTGTGTGATTTACGTACAGATGGAGCGAGTATACGTTTCGATAGTTTGGGTATACATACAGACAGATTGAGTATATGTACAGATAATGTGGATATACGTACAGATAGTGTGGATATACGTACAGATAGTGTGGATATACGTACAGATAGTGTGGATATACGTACAGATAGTGTGGATATACGTACAGATAGTGTGGATATACGTTCCGATAGTTTGGGTATACATACAGACAGATTGAGTATATGTACAGATAATGTGGATATACGTACAAATAGTATGGATATACGTAAAGGCATCGTGGATATACGTACAGATAGTGTGGACATACGTACAGATAGTGTGATTATACGTACAGATAGTGTGGATATACGTACAGATAGTGTGGATATACGTACAGATAGTGTGGATATACGTACATATAGTGTGGATATACGTACAGATAGTGTGGATATACGTACAGATAGTGTGATTATACGTACAGATAGTGTGGATATACGTACAGATAGTGTGGATATACGTACAGATAGTGTGGATATACGTACAGATAGTGTGATTATACGTACAGATAGTGTGGATATACGTACAGATAGTGTGGATATACGTACAGATAGCGTGGATATACGTACATATAGTGTGGATATACGTACAGAGTGTGGATATACGTACAGATAGTGTGATTATACCTACAGATAGTGTGGATATACGTACATATAGTGTGGATATATGTACAGACAGTGTGGATATACGTACATATAGAGTGAGTATACGTACAGATAGTGTGGATATACGTACAGATAGTGTGGATATACGTACATATAGAGTGGATATATGTACAGACAGTGTGGATATATGTACATATAGAGTGAGTATACGTACAGATAGTGTGGATATACGTACATATAGTGTGGATATACGTAAATATAGAGTGAGTATACTCACCGATAAGGACCCCGCCTTGACCTGCTTTCTGACCTTGTGTCTCATCTGGCGGAGGAAACCTTTGCGTTTCTTCAACATGTCGTTGTACATGTACAACACTCGTCTCTTCTCTCTCTGAACATACAAAGTGAACAATACGACATGTACAACACTCGTCTCTTCTCCCTCTCAACACAACATATGGATATTTATACATGTACAACACTCGTCTCTTCTCTCTCTGAACACAACATACGGATATTTATACATGTACAACACTCGTCTCTTCTCTCTCTGAACACAACATATGGATATTTATACATGTACAACACTCGTCTCTTCTCCCTCTCAACACAACATATGGATATTTATACACGTACAACACTCGTCTCTTCTCCCTCTCAACACAACATAGGGATATTTATACATGTACAACACTCGTCTCTGCTCCCCCTCAACACAACATATGGATATTTATACATGTACAACACTCGTCTCTTCTCCCTCTCAACACAACATAGGGATATTTATACATGTACAACACTCGTCTCTTCTCTTTCTCAACACAACATATGGATATTTATACACGTACAACACTCGTCTCTGCTCCCCCTCAACACAACATATGGATATTTATACATTTACAACACTCGTCTCTTCTCTTTTTCAACACAACATATGGATATTTATACATTTACAACACTCGTCTCTTCTCTTTCTCAACACAACATATGGATATTTATACATGTACAACACTCGTCTCTTCTCCCTCTCAACACAACATATGGATGTTTATACATGTACAACACTCGTCTCTTCTCTTTCTCAACACAACATATGGATATTTATTCATGTACAACACTCGTCTCTGCTCCCCCTCAACACAACATATGGATATTTATACATGTACAACACTCGTCTCTTCTCTTTTTCAACACAACATATGGATATTTATACATGTACAACACTCGTCTCTTCTCTTTCTCAACACAACATATGGATATTTATACATGTACAACACTCGTCTCTGCTCCCCCTCAACACAACATATGGATATTTATACATGTACAACACTCGTCTCTTCTCTTTTTCAACACAACATATGGATATTTATACATGTACAACACTCGTCTCTTCTCCCTCTCAACACAACATACGGATATTTATACATGTACAACACTCGTCTCTTCTCCCCCTCAACACAACATATGGATATTTATACATGTACAACACTCGTCTCTTCTCTTTCTCAACACAACACATTGATATTTATACATGTACAACACTCGTCTCTTCTCTCTCTCAACACAACATACGGATATTTATACATGTACAACACTCGTCTCTTCTCCCTCTCAACACAACAAATGGATATTTATACACGTACAACACTCGCCTCTTCTCCCTCTCAACACAAATATGGTATTTATAAAGCATTCGCCTCGTGTTTTTCTTGACGTCACAAAGCCAAGAATATCAGAACAAAAGACATTGTCTTTCTTTACTTACTCTTTCCAAATGGTAAGTACACAATTAATAACCTACCAGAAACTAAGAATTTATGTCAGGGAGGATAGCTGAAAAGATCGCAGCCTGATTTGATTGACCACATTGATTGAATTGGTTCCTCATTATTTTCAACATATTCCCCTCCGAGGTCCACACATTTCTGCCAACGTCGCCAGATCACCTGGATCCCACTGGTGTAGAAGGTTTCCTCTTTGTGGTGTCAAACGTCTTCAACAGCAGCAATGATGACATCAAAGTTTGCGCAATGCTTGCAAGGCAGTATTTCTTTAAGCGTCGCAAGAGGTGGAAATCTGACAGTTCTAAATCTGGTGAATACGGACGATGTTCAATGAGTTTAAATCCACAGTCATAAATTCGGCCACAGCGACAACAGATTTGTGCATAGATGCATTGTCGTGATGGAACAATGTACAATTCGCGATATTCTCACGCAGTTGCCGACGCAGATTAACATTACATTGTTGGTGATCTGACCTTCCGAGAGCTAGTCCACCATGGCCACTTTTTGGATCCGAACAATCCGAAGTCACTGCCATGGCAGCTGATTGAGCAGAGACTTTGCCTTCTTCCGAGGAGGAGACGTCAGATGTTTTCACTGCTTTGACTGCTGTTTGCTCTGTGGCTGATAGAGGTGAAACCCGGCCCATCCAGCAGTGAGAGTCAGACCAGGGCCCCACAAACTGTTGTTTGTTCTGTGGCTGTGGGAGGTGAAACCCGGCCCATCCATCAGTGAGAGTCAGATCAGGGCCCCACAAACTGTTGTTTGCTCTGTGGCTGATAGAGGTGAAACCCGGCCCATCCATCAGTGAGAGTCAGACCAGGGCCCCACAAACTGTTGTTTGCTCTGTGGCTGATAGAGGTGAAACCCGGCTCATCCATCAGTGAGAGTCAGACCAGGGCCCCACAAACTATGCTGGTCGTGAGAGGCTACTGAAAGGATCACTTGGTTGCATGTCATTGTACCATCACATCAATCACTGGTTTCTCTGGTCCTGACACGGTTAGAATAGACTGGACAACTGCTGACTGCGACGTTAAACAGGAAACAATACAACAAACAAAAAACAAACACATACATACAGAACTCACACGTTCTTACGTTGAAACCATTACACTACAGGCAGCTGCACCTTCCTCTAATGTGTTACCGGAAGTTGAAAGAGTTACCTACCTTCCTGTAGAAGAAGCAACAGATCTGCCTCCTCAGACGCAGACCGTAGGCCTCGAAGTACATGAAGACCCACACGCTGACGTAGATGCTGTAGATTGAGATGATGATACGGGTGTCCACCTTGGTCGGAGAAGGCAGGCAGTCTGAAGGAACATCGACATGGCAGTAACGCCACTCAGTGATCCCATTCCAATCATGTCGAGTTTTTAAAAAAACTATTTCTTTACGGGATGTAACTTGTATAATTAGACGTCCACAAACAGCCTCGCTAGTTGTACCCTGCGCCACGACAGTCGTAAGTCTATGTTAAAGAAACGGATCTACGATCACCTTAGCGCCACGACAGTCGTCGTAGGTCTTAGTTAAATAATTGGAGTTACGATCACCTTAGCGCCACGACAATCGTCGTAGGTCTATGTTAAAGAATGGGAGTTACGATCACCTTAGCGCCACGACAGTCGTAGGTCTATGTTAAAGAAACGGATCTACGATCACCTTAGCGCCACAACAGTCGTAAGTCTATGTTAAAGAATGGGAGTTACGATCACCTTAGCGCCACGACAGTCGTAGGTCTATGTTAAAGTATGGGAGTTACGATCACCTTAGCGCCACGACAGTCTTAGGTCTATGTTAAAGAATGGGAGTTACAATCACCTTAGCGTCACGACAGTCGTAGGTCTATGTTAAAGAATGGGAGTTACGATCACCTTAGCGCCACGACAGTCGTAGGTCTATGTTAAAGAATGGGAGTTACGATCACCTTAGCGTCACGACAGTCGTAGGTCTATGTTAAAGAAACGGATCTACCATCACCTTAGCGCCACGACAGTCGTCGTAGGTCTTAGTTAAATAATTGGAGTTACGATCACCTTAGCGCCACGACAGTCGTCGTAGGTCTATGTTAAAGAATGGGAGTTACGATCACCTTAGCGCCACGACAGTCGTAGGTCTATGTTAAAGAATGGGAGTTACGATCACCTTAGCACCACGACAGTCGTAGGTCTATGTTAAAGAATGGGAGTTACGATCACCTTAGCGCCACGACAGTCGTAGGTCTATGTTAAGGTATGGGAGTTACGATCACCTTAGCGCCACGACAGTCTTAGGTCTATGTTAAAGAATGGGAGTTACAATCACCTTAGCGCCACGACAGTCGTAGGTCTATGTTAAAGAATGGGAGTTACGATCACCTTAGCGCCACGACAGTCGTAGGTCTATGTTAAAGAAACGGATCTACGATCACCTTAGCGCCACGACAGTCGTTGTAGGTCTTAGTTAAATAATTGGAGTTACGATCACCTTAGCGCCACGACAGTCGTCGTAGGTCTATGTTAAAGAATGGGAGTTACGATCACCTTAGCGCCACGACAGTCGTAGGTCTATGTTAAAGAAACGGATCTACGATCACCTTAGCGCCACAACAGTCGTAAGTCTATGTTAAAGAATGGGAGTTACGATCACCTTAGCGCCACGACAGTCGTAGGTCTATGTTAAAGAATGGGAGTTACGATCACCTTAGCGCCACGACAGTCGTAGGTCTATGTTAAAGAATGGGAGTTACGATCACCTTAGCACCACGACAGTCGTAGGTCTTAGTTAAAGAATGGGAGTTACGATCACCTTAGCGCCACGACAGTCGTAGGTCTATGTTAAAGAATGGGAGTTACGATCACCTTAGCGCCACGACAGTCGTAGGTCTATGTTAAAGAATGGGAGTTACGATCACCTTAGCGCCACGACAGTCGTAGGTCTATGTTAAAGAAACGGATCTACCATCACCTTAGCGCCACGACAGTCGTCGTAGGTCTTAGTTAAATAATTGGAGTTACGATCACCTTAGCGCCACGACAGTCGTCGTAGGTCTATGTTAAAGAATGGGAGTTACGATCACCTTAGCGCCACGACAGTCGTAGGTCTATGTTAAAGAATGGGAGTTACGATCACCTTAGCGCCACGACAGTCGTAGGTCTATGTTAAAGAATGGGAGTTACGATCACCTTAGCACCACGACAGTCGTAGGTCTATGTTAAAGAATGGGAGTTACGATCACCTTAGCGCCACGACAGTCGTAGGTCTATGTTAAAGAAACGGATCTACGATCACCTTAGCGCCATGACAGTCGTAGGTCTATGTTAAAGAATGGGAGTTACGATCACCTTAGCGCCACGACAGTCGTAGGTCTATGTTAAAGTATGGGAGTTACGATCACCTTAGCGCCACGACAGTCTTAGGTCTATGTTAAAGAATGGGAGTTACAATCACCTTAGCGTCACGACAGTCGTAGGTCTATGTTAAAGAATGGGAGTTACGATCACCTTAGCGCCACGACAGTCGTCGTAGGTCTATGTTAAAGAATGGGAGTTACGATCACCTTAGCGCCACGACAGTCTTAGGTCTATGTTAAAGTATGGGAGTTACGATCACCTTAGCGCCACGACAGTCTTAGGTCTATGTTAAAGTATGGGAGTTACGATCACCTCAGCGCCACGACAGGCGTGACCACATTCATAGACCTACAATGACGTCATTCTATAACCGGTCTTAACACATCCATTTACCTACAAAAATATGTTTCTACAACTGGCCTCAACACATTCATTAACCCACAATTACATCACTTTTCAACCGTGTGACAGAAAAAGTCACGTTCCAGATCATCGCCTTAATATCAACTTGAATGCACGTGTGTATATGGCTGCTTGTTCTAGTCCGGTTATGCCGGTTTTATATTTTACCCGTTGACCTACTTCCCAAATCAATGCTCAGTTTTCATCCAGACAAGGAATATGGCGTTTCTACACTGTGACATACCTGCGTTCGTGGTGAGATGATGAATTTCGTGCTCGGAGTTGAAAGTAAGAAGAAACATTCGGACGATCTCGCTGATAAATCCTCGTCCCTCCACATTGATACTGACTCGATGTTTCCCTGCCAAAGAAAACAAGCGGTATGACGTACACTGGTGGCAACCTTCATATTGATGACATGAATCAAGCAGTATGACGTACCAGGGACGCAACCTACATATTGATGACATGAATCAAGCAGTATGACGTACCAGGGACGCACCCTACATATTGATGACATGTATCAAGCAGTATAACGTACCAGGGACGCACCCTACATATTAATGACATGTATCAAGCAGTATGACGTACCAGGGACGCACCCTACATATTGATGATATGAATCAAGCAGTATGACGTACCAGGGTGGCGCCTACATATTGATGACATCTATCAAGCAGTATGACGTACCAGGGACGCATCCTACATATTGATGACATGAATCAAGCAGTATGACGTACCAGGGTGGAGCCAACATAATGACGATATGTATCGAGCAGTAAAGGGTGAGGTGAGGTGAGGTGAAATTGGGTTTAACGTCGCGTCAAAGATTATTGCACTTATATAGCGACGTACATGTACGTGTGTTTGTTTGTGTGGCTGCTTGTACTAGTCCGGACTGATGCCGATTTATAGTGCTAGCCCACTGAGATACCATGCCGCAGTTTAACATGAATACACCATTCAGACACAGTATACTGACTCCGAGCCGACCAGTCCTTGTTTAAGCCCCTTAAAGCCGAGCGCCAGATAGGGTTACAACAAGTACCATCTTTTAACGGCTTTTGGTATGACGCGGTCGGGGATCGAACCCCGGACCTTCCGCTCTCCGGGCGGACGCTCTACCACTAGACCAAGGAGGCGGTATCACGTAAAGGGACGCACCCTACATATTGATGACACGAATCAAGCAGTAAGACGTACCAGCATTGCACCCTACATATTGATGACATGTATCAAGCAGTATAATGTAACAGCGTGGCGCCTAAATAATGATGACATGTAACAAGAAGTGTGACGTACCAGGGACGTACCCTACATATTGATGACATGAGTCAAGCAGTATGACGTACCAGGGAAGCACCCTACATATTGATGACATGTATCAAGCAGTATGACGTACCAGGGACGCACCCTACATATTGATGACATGTATCAAGCAGTATGACGTACCAGGGACGCACCCTACATATTGATGACATGTATCAAGCAGTATGACGTACCAGGGACGCACCCTACATATTGATTGCATGTATCAAGCAGTATGGCGAACCAGGGACGCACCCTACATATTGATGACATGTATCAAGCAGTATGATGTACCAGGGACGCACCCTAAATATTGATGACATGTATCAAGCAGTATGACGTACCAGGGACGCACCCTACACATTGATGACATGTATCAAGCAGTATGACGTACCAGGGACGCACCCTACATATTGATGACATGTATCAAGCAGTATGACGTACCCGGGACCCACCCTACATATTGATGACATGTATCAAGCAGTATGACGTACCGGGGACGCACCCTACATATTGATTGCATGTATCTAGCAGTATGGCGTACCAGGGACGCACCCTACAAATTGATGACATGTATCAAGCAGTATGACGTACCAGGGACGCACCCTACATATTGATGTCATGTATCTAGCAGTATGGCGTACCAGGGACGCACCCTACATATTGATGACATGTATCAAGCAGTATGACGTACCAGGGACGCACCCTACATATTGATGACATGTATCAAGCAGTATGACGTACAAGGGACGCACCCTACACATTGATGTCATGTATCTAGCAGTATGACGTACCAGGGACGCACCCTAAATATTGATGTCATGTGTCTAGCAGTATGACGTACCAGGGACGCACCCTACATATTGATGACATGTATCAAGCAGTATGACGTACCAGGGACGCACCCTACACATTGATGCCATGTATCTAGCAGTATGACGTACGAGGGACGCACCCTACATATTGATGACAACGTGGAAGGGGGAGGGGGCAGACAGTGTGAGAGATGTATTCAGGTGAGAGTGTCAATGTTCAGCAGCTCACCCTGCTGCTTGTAGTCGACCCTGCTGTGGCGGCGGATGACGTCGAGCACCCAGAACAGCAGGAAGTCCATCATGATGACGATGCCGGTGACGAGAGCTCGGAACAACAGGTGCACCGTCCCCTTTACCTGCACAGGGAGATAGGCGATACTGGCGGGAATGGCGGGAATGGCGATAATGGCGGGAATGGCGCGACAGCATGTGTGACAATAACATTGTCTGGTGTTTTTCAAAATTGTCTGTCATATAATGACAAGTGTGTTCACGTCTTGTTCTCATACAGCCAGTGTCATATCTCGTGAATATTTTTACACCAATGGCCACGTTCAACGCATGCGCTAATTTATTGTGATGTATAGATCTGATATGGTATGGTAGAGATATCCCTACACCCACCTACATATACCTACCAACACCATGCCAATCTGCTTACACCTTACAACTAGATGTAGCCCTGATGGTGGTACATACACCCTGATGGTGGTACATACACCCTGATGGTGGTAGAGATCTACACAGCCTGATGGTGGTTCATACACCTTGGTGGTGGTACATACACCCTGGTGGTGGTACATACATTCTGATTGGGGTACATACACCCTGATAGTGGTACAGATCTGCATACACCCTGATGGTGGTTCATACACCCTGATGGTGGTACATACACCCTGATGGGGGTGTATACACCCTGATGGGGGTACATACACCCTGGTAGTGGTACAGATCTACATACACCCTGATGGTGGTTCATACACCCTGATGGTGGTACATACACCCTGATGGGGGTGTAAACACCTTGATGGTGGTTCATACACCCTGATGGTGGTTCATACACCCTGATGGTGGTAGAGATCTACACACCCTGATGGTGGTTCATACACCCTGATGGTGGTACATACACCCTGAGAGTGGTAGAGATCTACATACACCCTGATAGTGGTAGAGATCTAAATATACCCTGATGGTGGTTCATACACCTTGGTGGTGGTACATACACCCTGGTGGTGGTACATACATTCTGATTGGGGTACATACACCCTGATGGTGGTACAGATCTGCATACACCCTGATGGTGGTACATACACCCTGATGGGGGTGTATACACCCTAATGGGGGTACATACACCCTGGTAGTGGTACAGATCTACATACACCCTGATGGTGGTTCATACACCCTGATGGTGGTACATACACCCTGATGGGGGTACATACACCCTGATGGGGGTACATACACCCTGATGGGGGTACATACACCCTGGTAGTGGTACAGATCTACATACACCCTAATGGGGGTACATACACCCTGATTGGGGTACATACACCCTGATGGGGGTACATACACCCTGATGGTCGTACAGATCTACATACACCCTGATGGGAGTACCTACACTCTCATAGTGGTGCATACACCCTGATGGGGGTACCTACACCCTGATAGTGGTGCATACACCCTGATGGGGTTACATACACCCTGATGGTGGTACAGATCTACATACACCCTGATTGGAGTACATACACCCTGATAGGGGTACATACACCCTGATGGGAGTACGTACACTCTCATAGTGGAGCATACACCCTGATGGGGGTACATACACCCTGATAGTGGTACATACACCCTGATGGGGGTACATACACCCTGATGGTGGTACAGATCTACATACAACCTGATTGGGGTACATACACCCTGATGATGGTACATACACCCTGATGGGGGTACCTACACCCTGATAGTGGTGCATACACCCTGATGGGAGTATATACACCCTGATGGTGATACAAATCTACATACACCCTGATGGGGGTACATACACCCTGATAGTGGTTCCGATCTACATACACCCTAATGGGGGTACATACACCCTAATGGGGGTACACACACCGTGATGGTGGTACATACACCCTGATAAGGGAACATACACCCTGATGGGAGTATATACACCCTGTTGGTGATACAGATCTACATACACCCTGATGGTGGTACATACACCCTGATAGGGGTACATACACCCTGATTGGGGTACATACACCCTGATAGTGGTACATATCTACATACACCCTGATGGTGGTACATACACCCTGATGGTGGTACATACACCCTCACGGGGGTACATACACCCTCATGGGGGTACATACACCGTGATAGGGGTACATACATCCTGGTGTGGGTACATACCCCTGATTGTGGTAAATACACCCTGATAGGGTATAGATCTGCCAGTGTCCTACCAGTTTGGACTTTTCTGTGGCCATCAGTTTCCTGGAAGTCGGATAGACAATTTTATTTTCTTCGATTTTCTTTAAAGGCAACAACACAGTCTTCCCCTGAAACAAGGGGAACTACGTTTGTAACACATATAACTAGGATTACATTTACAGCACATATAACTGGGACTTCATTTAGAGCACATATGACTAGGACTACACTTATAGCACATATAACTAGGACTACATTTAGAGCACATATAACTAGGACTACATTTACAGCACATATAACTAGGACTACATTTATAGCACATATAACTGGGACTACATTTAAAGCACATATAACTAGGACTTCATTTACAGCACATATGACTAGGACTTCATTTATAGCACATATGACTAGGAATACATTTATAGCACATATAATTAGGACCACATTCAGAGCACACATGACTAGGGCTATATTTATAGCACATATAACTAGGACTACATTTATAGCACATATAACTGAGACTACATTTATAGCACATATGACTAGGACTACATTTATAGCACATATAACTGAGACTACATTTATAGCACATATAACTAAGATAACATTTAAAGCACATATAACTAGGACTACATTTATAGCACATATAAATGGGACTACATTTATAGCACCTATAACTGAGACTAAATTTATAGCACATACAACCGAGACTTAATTTATACCACATATAACTAGGACTATGTTTTTAGTATATATAATTGAGACTACATTTATAGCACATATAACTAGAACTACATTTATAGCACATATAACTGGGACTTCATTTATAGCACATATTACTAGGACTACATTTATAGCACATATAACTGAGACTTCATTTATAGCACATATAACTAGGACTACGTTTTTAGTACATATAACTGAGACTACATTTATAGCACATATAACCATGACTACATTTATAGCACAAATAACTAGGACTACATTTATAGCACATATGACTAGGACTACATTTATAGCACATATAACTAGGACTACATTTATAGCACATATAACTGGGATCTCAGTTATAGCACATATAACTAGGACTACATTCATAGCACATATAACTAGGACTACATTTATAGCACATATAACTGGGACTTCATTTATAGCACATATAACTAGGACTACATTTATAGCACATATAACTGGGACTACATTTAAAGCACATATAACTAGGACTACATTTACAGCACATATGACTAGGACTTCATTTATAGCACTTATGACTAGGACTACATTTATAGCACATATAATTAGGACCACATTCAGAGCACACATGACTAGGACTATATTTATAGCACATATAACTAGGACTACATTTATAGCACATATAACTGAGACTACATTTATAACACATATGACATGGGGTACATTTATAGCACATATGACTAGGACTACATTTATAGCACATATAACTGAGACTACATTTATAGTACATATAACTCAGATAACATTTAAAGCGCATTTAACTAGGACTACATTTATAGCACATATAACTGGGACTACATTTATAGCACCTGTAACTGAGACTTAATTTATAGCACATATAACCGAGACTTAATTTATACCACATATAACTAGGACTACGTTTTTAGTATATATAACTGAGACTACATTTATAGCACATATAACTAGGACTACATTTATAGCACATATAACTGGGACTTCGTTTATAGCACATATGACTAGGACTACATTTATAGCACATATAACTGAGACTTCATTTATAGCACATATAACTAGGACTACGTTTTTAGTACATATAACTGAGACTACATTTATAGCACATATAACCATGAGTACATTTATAGCACAAATAACTAGGACCGCATTTGTAGCACATATGACTAGGACTACATTTATAGCACATATGAATAGGACTACATTTATAGCACATATAACTGGGATCTCATTTATAGCACATATAACTAGGACTACGTTTTTAGTACAGATAACTAGGAGTACATTTATAGCACATATAACTGGGATCTCATTTATAGCACATATAACTACCACTTTATTTAGAGCACATATGACTAGGAATACATTTATAGCACAAATAACTAGGACTACATTTATAGCACATATAACTAGGACTACATTTATAGCACATATAATTAGGACCACATTCAGAGCACATATAACTAGGACTACATTTATAGCACATATAACTGAGACTACATTTATAGCACATATGACAAGGGGTACATTTATAGCACATATGACTAGGAATACATTTATAGCACATATGACTAGGACTACATTTATAGCACACATAACTGAGACTACATTTATAGTACATATAACTCAGATAACATTTAAAGCACATATAACTAGGACTATATTTATAGCACATATAAATGGGACTATATTTATAGCACATATAAGTGAGACTTAATTTATAGCACATATAACCGAGACTTAATTTATGCCACATATAACTAGGACTACGTTTTTAGTATATATAACTGAGACTACACTTATAGCACATATAACCATGACTACATTCATAGCACATATAACTAGGACTACATTTATAGCACATATAACTGGGACTTCATTTATAGCACATGTGACTAGGACTACATTTATAGCACATATAACTGAGACTTCATTTATAGCACATATAACTAGGACTACGTTTTTAGTACATATAACTGAGACCACATTTATAGCACAAATAACTAGGACTACATTTGTAGCACATATAACTAGGACTACATTTATAGCACATATAACTAGGACTACATTTATAGCACATATAATTAGGACTACATTCAGAGCACATATAACTAGGACTACGTTTATAGGACATATAAATAGGACTACATTTATAGCACATATAACTGAGACTACATTTATAGCACATATGACAAGGGGTACATTTATAGCACATATGACTAGGAATACATTTATAGCACATATAACTAGGACTACATTTATAGCACACATAACTGGGATCTCATTTATAGCACATATAACTAGGACTACGTTTTTAGTACATATAACTAGAACTACATTTATTGCACATATAACTGGGATCTCATTTATAGCACATATAACTAGGAGTTCATTTAGAGCACATATGACTAGGAATACATTTATAGCACATATAATTAGGACCACATTCAGAGCACATATAACTAGGACTACGTTTATAGCACATATAACTATGACTACATTTATAGCACATATAACTGAGACTACATTTATAGCACATATGACAGGGTACATTTATAGCACATATGACTAGGAATACATTTATAGCACATATGACTAGGACTACATTTATAGCACACATAACTGAGACTACATTTATAGTACATATAACTCAGATAACATTTAAAGCACATATAACTAGGACTACATTTATAGCACATATAACTGGGACTACATTTATAGCACCTATAACTGAGACTTAATTTATAGCACATATAACCGAGACTTAATTTATACCACATATAACTAGGACTACGTTTTAAGTATATATAACTGAGACTACATTTGTAGCACATATAACCATGACTACATTCATAGCACATATAACTAGGACTACATTTATAGCACATATAACTGGGACTACATTTAAAGCACATATAACTAGGACTTCATTTACAGCACATACGACTAGGACTTTATTTATAGCACATATGACTAGGAATACATTTATAGCACATATAATTAGGACCACATTCAGAGCACACATGACTAGGGCTATATTTATAGCACATATAACTAGGACTACATTTATAGCACATATAACTGAGACTACATTTATAGCACATATGACTAGGACTACATTTATAGCACATATAACTGAGACTACATTTATAGCACATATAACTAAGATAACATTTAAAGCACATATAACTAGGACTACATTTATAGCACATATAAATGGGACTACATTTATAGCACCTATAACTGAGACTAAATTTATAGCACATACAACCGAGACTTAATTTATACCACATATAACTAGGACTATGTTTTTAGTATATATAATTGAGACTACATTTATAGCACATATAACTAGAACTACATTTATAGCACATATAACTGGGACTTCATTTATAGCACATATTACTAGGACTACATTTATAGCACATATAACTGAGACTTCATTTATAGCACATATAACTAGGACTACGTTTTTAGTACATATAACTGAGACTACATTTATAGCACATATAACCATGACTACATTTATAGCACAAATAACTAGGACTACATTTATAGCACATATGACTAGGACTACATTTATAGCACATATAACTAGGACTACATTTATAGCACATATAACTGGGATCTCAGTTATAGCACATATAACTAGGACTACATTCATAGCACATATAACTAGGACTACATTTATAGCACATATAACTGGGACTTCATTTATAGCACATATAACTAGGACTACATTTATAGCACATATAACTGGGACTACATTTAAAGCACATATAACTAGGACTACATTTACAGCACATATGACTAGGACTTCATTTATAGCACTTATGACTAGGACTACATTTATAGCACATATAATTAGGACCACATTCAGAGCACACATGACTAGGACTATATTTATAGCACATATAACTAGGACTACATTTATAGCACATATAACTGAGACTACATTTATAACACATATGACATGGGGTACATTTATAGCACATATGACTAGGACTACATTTATAGCACATATAACTGAGACTACATTTATAGTACATATAACTCAGATAACATTTAAAGCGCATTTAACTAGGACTACATTTATAGCACATATAACTGGGACTACATTTATAGCACCTGTAACTGAGACTTAATTTATAGCACATATAACCGAGACTTAATTTATACCACATATAACTAGGACTACGTTTTTAGTATATATAACTGAGACTACATTTATAGCACATATAACTAGGACTACATTTATAGCACATATAACTGGGACTTCGTTTATAGCACATATGACTAGGACTACATTTATAGCACATATAACTGAGACTTCATTTATAGCACATATAACTAGGACTACGTTTTTAGTACATATAACTGAGACTACATTTATAGCACATATAACCATGAGTACATTTATAGCACAAATAACTAGGACCGCATTTGTAGCACATATGACTAGGACTACATTTATAGCACATATGACTAGGACTACATTTATAGCACATATAACTGGGATCTCATTTATAGCACATATAACTAGGACTACGTTTTTAGTACAGATAACTAGGAGTACATTTATAGCACATATAACTGGGATCTCATTTATAGCACATATAACTACCACTTTATTTAGAGCACATATGACTAGGAATACATTTATAGCACAAATAACTAGGACTACATTTATAGCACATATAACTAGGACTACATTTATAGCACATATAATTAGGACCACATTCAGAGCACATATAACTAGGACTACATTTATAGCACATATAACTGAGACTACATTTATAGCACATATGACAAGGGGTACATTTATAGCACATATGACTAGGAATACATTTATAGCACATATGACTAGGACTACATTTATAGCACACATAACTGAGACTACATTTATAGTACATATAACTCAGATAACATTTAAAGCACATATAACTAGGACTATATTTATAGCACATATAAATGGGACTATATTTATAGCACATATAAGTGAGACTTAATTTATAGCACATATAAACGAGACTTAATTTATGCCACATATAACTAGGACTACGTTTTTAGTATATATAACTGAGACTACACTTATAGCACATATAACCATGACTACATTCATAGCACATATAACTAGGACTACATTTATAGCACATATAACTGGGACTTCATTTATAGCACATGTGACTAGGACTACATTTATAGCACATATAACTGAGACTTCATTTATAGCACATATAACTAGGACTACGTTTTTAGTACATATAACTGAGACCACATTTATAGCACAAATAACTAGGACTACATTTGTAGCACATATAACTAGGACTACATTTATAGCACATATAACTAGGACTACATTTATAGCACATATAATTAGGACTACATTCAGAGCACATATAACTAGGACTACGTTTATAGGACATATAAATAGGACTACATTTATAGCACATATAACTGAGACTACATTTATAGCACATATGACAAGGGGTACATTTATAGCACATATGACTAGGAATACATTTATAGCACATATAACTAGGACTACATTTATAGCACACATAACTGGGATCTCATTTATAGCACATATAACTAGGACTACGTTTTTAGTACATATAACTAGAACTACATTTATTGCACATATAACTGGGATCTCATTTATAGCACATATAACTAGGAGTTCATTTAGAGCACATATGACTAGGAATACATTTATAGCACATATAATTAGGACCACATTCAGAGCACATATAACTAGGACTACGTTTATAGCACATATAACTATGACTACATTTATAGCACATATAACTGAGACTACATTTATAGCACATATGACAGGGTACATTTATAGCACATATGACTAGGAATACATTTATAGCACATATGACTAGGACTACATTTATAGCACACATAACTGAGACTACATTTATAGTACATATAACTAAGATAACATTTAAAGCACATATAACTAGGACTACATTTATAGCACATATAACTGGGACTACATTTATAGCACCTATAACTGAGACTTAATTTATAGCACATATAACCGAGACTTAATTTATACCACATATAACTAGGACTACGTTTTAAGTATATATAACTGAGACTACATTTGTAGCACATATAACCATGACTACATTCATAGCACATATAACTAGGACTACATTTATAGCACATATAACTGGGACTTCATTTATAGCACATATGACTAGGACTACATTTATAGCACATATAACTAGGACTACGTTTTTAGTACATATAACTGAGACTACATTTATAGCACATATAACCATGACTACAGTTTATAGCACAAATAACTAGGACTACATTTATAGCACATATAACTGGGATCTCATTTATAGCACATATAACTAGGACTACGTTTTTAGTACATATAACTAGGACTACATTTATAGCACATATAACTGGGATCTCATTTATAGCACATATAACTAGGACTACATTTAGAGCTCATATAACTAGGACTACATTTACAGCACATATAACTAGGACTACATTTAAAGCACACATAACTAGGACTACATTTATAGCACATATAACTAGGACTACATTTACAGCACATATAACTAGGACTACATTTATAGCACATATAACTGGGACTACATTTAGAGCACATATAACTAGGACTACATTTACAGCACATATGACTAGGACTTCATTTATAGCACATATAACTAGGACTACATTTATAGCACATATAATTAGGACCACATTCAGAGCACACATGACTAGGACTATATTTATAGCACATATAACTAGGACTACATTTAAAGCACATATAACTCTAACTAGCTGTCTCTAACCCTAACACTAACCCAAACCCATGTCGAATTACAAGTTGCCAATCACTGAGAATATACCAGCTGTCGCTAACCCTAACCCTAACTCTAACCCAATTAGTTCTTACTTAATTCTGATCACGTACCTGCTGTTTTCGGCGGAAGTCGATATGTCGGAAGTACTTCGTTATGTATATATTGTCGTACTTGAAGTCTGTTAGATAGTTCTTCTCGTACCGGTAAGATCTGTGAAGTACAAATGGGTTGTTACAACCCGTCTCCACTTTATCGCTTTCATCTCTCATACTTATTGACATATTTAGGGATCATCGATTGCAAGTCGCAAGAGACGATGTGTGACGAAGTGTGACGATGTGTTACGATGTGTTACGATGTGTCGCGATGTGTGACGATGTGTCGCGATGTGTCACAATGTGTGACGAAGTGTGACGATGTGTCACGATGTGTGTATTGAGGGCACTTATCTTGCTCACATCTTATTTGTTCATTTGACCACAGCTAGGTGTATTTACATTTTAATTTGAAATACGTTTGATCTGACCACAGCTAGGTGTTTTTACATTTAGGAGATAAACATACTGTGTTTTCAATGTAGAGCTAGGTTACCTGTAGATTTAACCCCGCTTAATTGAATTTGGAACCGAAATGTTAAATTTAGCGCGGTTAAATCTACAGGTATCCTGGCTCTACATTGAAAACACAGTATGTTTATCTCCATTCTACCATGACTAAATAAAACGCGAACTCTTTGGTGTTAGCAAATATTTTGAGTGAAGCGGTATGGGTTGAGTTCAGTGTTTTGAGTGGGTTATCGATCTAAATTACGGAATCACCGAACAAAATATGGTGCTATATATACTCAAGCAGTTTGTTTACACCGTAATACTTGACTCGAACATATGACAGGCATTGAAAGCATGTGAGCACAGCAACTTTGTAAGCTAACATGAGGTGAGCATCCCTAAAGAAAACAAAGCAAGCTTTGCAAGGCTTTCGCTCTACATCGCACGTCACCATTATGACGTCATATCGCTCATTGTGACTCAAAAGATATGTCACAGTCGTATATAGAAAACGCAAAAATTCCAAGCTCGCTGTTGTCTCCAAAACGTAAATACATTCCCTTTGTAGATTTCTATCGTTTTCTCTGCGCGAAATGTATTGCCACACATCCTTTGAATATTGTAGTTACTGCATCTGTGCATTTTGTAACCTGTAATTGTAGATATAATTATTTAAATATGCCTACCGACAATGACTGAAAATAGTACTATTCTATGAATGTTAGCTTCCGCGGTGATGCGGCCGTCAAACCAACTGTTTCAATCAGAGGGGGTTTATTGTGATTTAATAGACTCTGATTGACCAATCAGAATTGAGTAAATTCCAAGTTCATGGTAGAATTTAATTTGAAATACGTTTGATCTGACCACATCTAGGTGTATTAAATTGTAATTTGAAATACGTTTGATTTGACCTCATCTAGGTGTTTTAGATTGTAATTTGAAATACGTTTGATCTGACCAAGGATAGGTGTATTTGAATTGTAATTTTTAATACGTTTTATCTGACCACAGATAGGTGTATTTAAATTTTAATTTGAAATACGTTTGATCTGACCACAGGTAGTTGTACTTTGGTTTTAATTTTGAATACGTTTGAACTGACCACAGCTAGGTGTATTTAAATTCTAATTTGAAATACGTTTGATTTGACCACCGCTGGGTGTGTTTTTAAATTTAATTTATAATACGTTTATCTGACCACAGCCAGGTGTATTTATATTTTAATTTGAAATACGTTTATCTGACCAGAGCTGGGTGTATTTAAATTTTAATTTGAAATACGTTTTATCTTACCACAGCTGGGTGTATTTACATATTAATTTTGAATATGTTTGATCTGACCACAGCTAGGTGTATTTACATTTTTCATCGCTACGTTTCTCAGTGTCTTATTCTTTACCCTTTGTCAACGTATGTCGTGGTACAGGGCGGTTGGGTAGCCTAGTGGATAAAGCGTTCGCTCGTCACGCCGAAGGCCCGGGTTCGATTCCCAAAATCGGTACAATGTGTGAAGCCCATTCTGTTGTCCCCCGCCGTGATATTGCTGGAATATTGCTAAAAGCGGCGTAAAACCATACTCACTCACTCACTCTGTCGTGGCACAGGATTAATACAGCATCACGTTTGATTCTCAGCTTAACCCAGCAGTTCGCGATGTAGGTATGTGTAGTGACTGATCATAGCTTCCATATAATGGCCAAATATCTACACCACAAGATTGAATTTGACATGTGAATAAATACTGCCCCATTCAATGTGTTAGGTATTCTCGGCCGTTGTTTGTCTTATGTGCATATACAATCTACAAAGAGTTGTAATCTGTAGCAAACCCCTGGGGATCCCCTGCCACTCTGGTCCCCACAAACCTTGTGTGCAGTAAACGGCGGGAACATGGAGCAGGCTGTGGCTTCAGTAATTGTCATCGTTCAACGTGGATCATTACTTCAATCTCTAGATTGTCTGGCCCAGGCTCGATTATTTACAGGCATCCGCTATATAGCTGTGATATTGCTGCGGAGTTAACAAACACACCGCATTCTGTCCCTGCTACTGGCATCACAGGTCAGACAAATATAGTTACGGTATCGCTGGTGTCAGACTATTACTCGCTAGGCCTCGCGAGGACCCGGGTAGAGAAAAGGTCTTCAGCAACCCATGCTTGGTTGATGCGACTATGCTTGTCGTAAGAGGCGACTAACGGAATCGGGTGGTCAGGGTAGCTGACATGTATGTCATCGTATCCCAATTGCGTGGATCGATGCTCATGATGTGAATCACTGAATTGTCTGGTCCAGACACGATTTTTAAAGACCGCCGTCATATAGCTGAAATATTGTTGATTGCGGCGTTAAACAACAAACCCACAAACGAAATAAGTCGCTGACGGAACAGATATAGTGTGACGTCACATACCTGAAGAATATGAAGAGAAACATGAAAGCGAGGACACGCTGAAACAGTGTCATCACAAACTCCATAGCATCACGTCTCTTCGAAAACTCGTACATTGTCGCTTTACGCGCCTCCTCCGCCCTTGTGTAGTCTAGAGCCTCGGTGTCGGCCACCACCTAGGAGAGGAGAAAAGCTGTTAGGAGTTTCTTAAAACCCGAACCACCATGAAGATCTTACTAAATGAAATGAGTTTCAATCTGACTTCCATGTGTCCGTTGAGTTCACAACATGCACGTGCTGCAACAATTATACTTATTATTCATATGAACACATAATTATCTGAATATATCTGTCAGGAATAGTGGGCCCTTACATTCGGAACACTGACCCCAAAAGGGTTTTAGAGGCAACTGTGCCCACCTTGAATGAAACTAAAGGTCAAACAATCCAGTTAAATCAAAAGTGATTATCCCTATTCCGAATTTTGAATTTGGAAATTCTGGGCCCGATCGTCGGTTTTTATCGCCATTCCAACCTTATATTGCATGTTGACGCTGAATCCCTCGTCCATGTTGTCGATCATGTCACGTGACGCTGTGTACGTTTCGCCAACCCCCGGATTGACGACCTCCATGGAGTTGCAGTCGAGGCCGATGGCTCCTGGCATCACTGCGTGGAAAATGAGTGAGTTAATGAGCGGATGTGTATTTGGGTTTGTGAGTGAGTGAGTGAGTTTGGTTAAATGTCACTCGTTGAAGGAAAGCCCGGAGTGACGCAGGTCTTAGACGTTTACCACTTTGGTGAAACCCACGAGCAAGGGCATGGTGCTGCCGAGAAACCTAGAAACATAATAAGTTTCGAACCCACGATCATAGGTTCGCATACGCGACACAACATGTATGCACGGTCAATGATGAGATACGTTTAGATCAGAAGGACATTGCATGGTCAGTGATGCGAGACGTTGAGACCAGAGGGACATTGCATGGTCAGTGATGCGAGACGTTGAGACCAGAGGGACATTGCATGGTCAGTGATGCGAGACGTTGAGACCAGAGGGACATTGCATGGTCAGTGATGCGAGACGCTGAGATCAGAGGGACATTGCATAGTCAGTGATGCGAGACGTTGAGATCTGAGGAACATTGCATGGTCAGTGATGCGAGATGTTGAGATCTGAGGAACATTGCATGGTCACTGATGAGAGACGTTTAGACCAGAGAGACATCGCATGGTCACTGATGAGAGACGTTGAGATCTGAGGAACATTGCATGGTCACTGATGCGAGACGTTGAGATCAGAGGGACATTGCATGGTCATTGATGAGAGACGTTGAGATCTGAGGAACATTGCATGGTCACTGATGAGAGACGTTTAGATCAGAGGGACATTGCATGGTCACTGATGAGAGACGTTTAGACCAGAGGGCCATTGCATGGTCACTGATTAGAGACGTTTAGACCAGAGGGTCATTGCGTGGTCACTGATGAGAGACGTTTAGACCAGAGGGTCATTGCATGGTCACTGATGAGAGACGTTTAGACCAGAGGGTCATTGCATGGTCACTGATTAGAGACGTTGAGATCTGAGGAACATTGCATGGTCACTGATGCGAGACGTTGAGATCAGAGGGACATTGCATGGTCAGTGATGAGAGACGTTGAGATCTGAGGAACATTGCATGGTCACTGATGAGAGACGTTGAGATCTGAGGAACATTGCATGGTCACTGATGCGAGACGTTGAGATCAGAGGGACATTGCATGGTCAGTGATGAGAGACGTTGAGATCTGAGGAACATTGCATGGTCACTGATGAGAGACGTTGAGATCTGAGGAACATTGCATGGTCACTGATGCGAGACGTTTAGACCAGAGGGTCATTGCATGGTCACTGATGAGAGACGCTAAGATCAGAGGGACATTGCATGGTCACTGATGCGAGACGTTGCGATCAGAGGGACATTGCATGGTCACTGATGAGAGACGTTTAGACCAGAGGGTCATTGCATGGTCAGTGATGAGAGACGTTTAGATCAGAGGGCCCGGTATATATATATACTGAACCGCAAAGGAAACGTCACCCTAAGTAACATTGCATAAAAAGTTGTCATTTAAATATATGGGTAATTTTTGTCAAAGTTTCTAAAATTTAACATTACCTCGTCCGGAAAAAAATAAATTTGATGATAAAAGAACAAAGCAGATGACAATAAAACCGATCGCCCAAACACATCACAGCAACGGCCATGGTAAACCGATGCACGTGAGTTCGGTGCAAATTGAAATGCACATGCGTTCCCCCATTTTTTGCCCTTTAAAAATCCACCCAGATGGGATAACATTCATTCGTTATTGAATTGCTACCACATGCCAGGATTGATAAGAAATCAGCGACACCAAGCCCTTGGACGATTGCGAGCTGGACAAACCGCCCGGCAAGTAGCCAGTGCATTTCAAGTCCACGCAAGGACCATTTACAACGCAACGGTGCCAGACCACCAACACTACAGATGACCGACCACGTAGTGGAAGACCAAGGGTCACTACCCGACGTCAGGATCGTCAGGATCGTCAGATCTTCAAGATCGCGTTGTTACTATTGCGGAAACTGCTCAACAGACCATGGGGACACACCAGCGACACATTAGTGCGGACACTGTGCGTCGACGATTGACGAGCAGACACCTCCACTGTCACAGGCCACACCGAGGACCAATTCTGATACCACGTCATCGCCGGGACCGTCTTCAGTGGGCAACACAGCACCAGCATTGGCGCCACCAGCAGTGGAGAAGAGTCCTCTTCTCAGACGAGAGCCGTTACTGTATCTCAACAACAGATGGCAGAGAGAGAGCCGCCGTGGGGAACATTATTCGGATGCATGTGTTTCTTTAGAGAGACTCGTGGGGTGATCCGAGCATCATGGTGTGTGGTGGATTTGGTCTTGCATAGAGGGCAGGCCATGTGATCTTCCAGAACATCGGTCCAGGGAGAGGCAAGTACATTGATCAAGTCTTGAGACCACACGACATACCTCATTTGGCACGTCGCCCGTGCCAATAACGCACGTGCCCACACTGCGAGAGCAACAAGAGACTTCCTCCAGCAGAAAGGCATCAGAGCCATGCAGTGACCTGCCCTCAGTCCTGATTTAAATCCCATTGAGCACCTGTGTGACGAGATTCAAAGACGGCTGAATGACGTCAGGCTTTCCTAGAGACTAGTGTTGTGTTTCACTTTAAGAACATTTGACACTTTAATTTCAACCTTGATGATCAATTTTGCCAAGTTTCATTTTTGTAATATGTCCATAGGTATGTTTACAGTGTTTGGACAAATACGGTTTCTCATATATCTATCCATAGTGACGTTTCTTTTGCAGTTCAGTATATATATATATATTTTGTCATAATTAACTAAGAGGAGTAAGAGTGGCCAATTAAAACTGTGTTTAATCGTTCTCCACTTATAATTTAATTATGACTAAATTATAATGTGCCAGAGAACTTAACTGTACTTTTTCTACATATATATATATTAGATGGTACTTGTTGCTACCCTGCCTGGCGTTCGGCACAAAGAGGACAAAACAAGGACTGGTCACCTCTAAGTCTGTTTACTGTGTGTGTAGGGGGTATCCATGTTAAACTGCGGCATGGTATCCCCCACCAAATGGATATCCCCTACTCCTCTGCATATACACATCTCCACCCACCCCCGATACATTCCCATAATATTAATTGATCGGTCCCCAACATATTCTCACGACAGTTGTAGTAGTGAGATCACTTTAAGGAACGAGACCAACTGCCAATGGAATGGTGTTAAATCACAGTATATCAGCTGCCTCACCTCTCACGATTTCACAGATGACAGTCAGTTTGAGCGGAAGGCACATGATGTAGCCTAACAGCCATAGGGCCTTCATACAGCGCTTCTCCAAGTCCCGGAACCAGTTGCGGCAGTTCTCCACGCCTTGTGTGAAGACATCTGTGTGACAATAGACTTTAATGAATTTGATGATTTTGTTTTTGTTTGTTTGTTATTTAATGCCGTAAAGCAACATTCCAGCTATATGACGGCGGTCTGTAAACTATCGAGTCTGGACCAGACAATCCAGTGATTCTGATCACGAGCATCGATCCACGCATTTGGGATACGATGACATGCATCAACCAAGTCAGCGAACCTGACAAGCATAGTCGCCTTTTACGGCAAGCATGGGTTGCTGGAGACCTATTATAAGCCATCTTCCCGAGGTAAGAGAGTTAACTGACTATAAAAGTCCAGTTTCCCCCCTTGCCGAACAAGGTTGGTATTGTGGAGTTAAATTTTAGCTGGACTAACGAGTCTATGCATAGTACAATCAAAATCGCGCACCGAAATAGAAATCCGGTTCGTAAACTGTCGTGCAGATTTCGGTCGATTGCAGAATTTGAAAGCATGTGCACAGCCAACTCGTTGTCAGCAGATATTTTCCAAATCCTTTCATGTTTTTAATCAAGGTGCTCACGTGATTTGGTGCATTTCGCGGTGTAAGACCCGTTTTATCACACTATAGATCTTGATTATCGATCAGATCATCCTGACTCGGCGCCACCATTTTGTGTGAAGCAAACGCAAGTGATACGAGAGGTGGAATCTGATTGGTCCATAGGAGAGGCTTAGAAGGGACATAACTGGTAATAGACACTGGTGGCGCTACGATCGAGCCCAGTAATTCCAGCCTAGTTCGGCAAGGGTGGAAACTGGACTTTTAAAGTCAGTTCACTCTCTTGCCTCGGGAAGATGATTATAAGCCGGATCTTCACGGGTTGACGATGATGATAATAATGATTATACAAATACTATTTCAGGTATCATAATTGTTGTTTCATAATCATTCAAATTAGTCTAGGGAAAGAACCTACTAAGATTGGTAAGGACAGCATGCCTGGGCTCACCCTCACAGCGGTAGTCCAGCTTCTTCTCCCAGGTGTTTTCCACAGCCTTGTCCTTCCCCGCGCCCGGCTTCAGTTTGTGCCGCTGCTCTATGGCGGATGCCCTGTCCTTATGACCTCTCTTTCTGTCGATGTCACGGGCGCGTTTCTTCATCTTCTCCACAAACCCACTGTTTTCCATCTACGGGAGAGACGCTGACATTACAAGACGAGCGTCGAGAGACCTCTGAGCGACACGCTGTTATGAGCATGGGGTTTCATAGCATCCGAGACCACTCGTATCATTCAGGTTACATCTGAATGGGGGGCGGTCGGGTAGCCTAGTGGTTAAAGCGTTCGCTCGTCACGCCGAAGACCCGGGTTCAATTCCCGACATGGGTACAATGCGTGAAGCCCATTTATGGTGTCCCCCGCCGTGATATTGCTGGAATATTGCTAAAAGCGGCGTAAAACCATACTCACTCACTCACTACATCTAAATGGACCAATGTCACACTACTTATGTTTTATCGGACAAGCGGAAACAAAGAGAAAGCTTATGGCCACAATGGTTGGTTGCTTGTTGTTTAACGCCGCACTCAGCAATATTCCAGCTATATGACGGCGGTCTGTAAATAATCGAGTCTGGACCAGACAATCCAGTGATTGATATCATGAGCATCGATCCTCGCAATTGGGATACGATGACATGCATCATCCAAATCAGCGAACTGACCACCCGATGCCGTTAGTCGCCTCTTACGACAAGCATAGTCGCCTCTTACGGCAAGCATGGGTTGCTGAAGACCTATTCCACCCGGGTCTTCCCGGTTCTTCCACAGTCTTCCCGAGATCACCCATTCAGAGCTTATGCTTCTGAGGTTTCTGAGAAATAGAATTTGGATTGAGGCCTCCTCGACCTCTACTCCTCGAGTGAAGCTAGTGATGCCAAGCATTACCTCTCTCCTGATTGGTTCAAACGCCTTGTTCACAACCTTTCCGATCTTCTTTATCAGGAACCCCTCTTTCTTGACACGAAATAACAAAGTCAATGATAAGTATTCAGTGCTAGTATTAGAAACAGTGATGAGTATTCATATATATTTTTAATATCATAAATGATAAGTATTGAAATTTTGTCAATAGAATCAGTAGATGTGATGGTGATGAACTAATGAACCACATGTCAAGACTGTTGTACTTGGTTCATCAAGAAAGTCTAACCTGTGTTGTCTGCCCCAGGCAAGTGGCTGTACCTCTCTAAACTGAGTCTATCATAGGAGTTCTCACCTGTATCTGAACCATGGCGTCCTGTACTCACCCGTATCTGAACCATAGCGTCCTGTTCTAACCTGTATCTGAACCATAGCGTCCTGTACTCACATGTATCTGAACCATGGCGTCCTGTTCTCACCCGTATCTGAACCATAGCGTCCTGTTCTAACCTGAATCTGAACCATAGCGTCCTGTACTCACCTGTATCTGAACCATGGCGTCCTGTACTCACCTGTATCTGAACCACGGCATCCTGTTCCCACGTGTAACTGAACCATGGCGTCCTGTTCTCACCTATTTCTGAACCATGGCGTCCTGTTCTAACCTGTATCTGAACAATAGCGTCCTGTACTCACATGTATCTGAACCATGGCGTCCTGTTCTCACCTGTATCTGAACCATAGCGTCCTGTTCTAACCTGTATCTGAACCATAGCGTCCTGTTCTCACCTGTATCTGAACCATAGCGTCCTGTTCTCACCTGTATCTGAACCATGGCGTCCTGCACTTACCTGTATCTGCGCCATGGCGTCCTGTACTCACCTGTATCTGAACCGTGGCGTCCTGTTCTCACCTGTATCTGCGCCATGGCGTCTTGTACTGGTTTCATCCGGAACAACCATTTCTGAGCGGTGTGGTTGGCCAGTAGTTCAGTGACGCAGGTCAAGGAGTTGGTCATCTCACCGGCGTTGCTCAGAATGTTGTGGACAGGCCCTGAAACACAATGTCGTCGACGCCCATCAAACATCAGCACATCAACAAAAACGTGTTTACAACCAAGTATATAAATACGAATCTGTATCTGCACAGCATATAGGCAAAAGATCTTCGGCAAATTCTAAGCTTTGCGGATCCTGTCTTTGAATGTGTGATGAACTGCTTGCTACTTTAGAAGGGGTGGTGGAGGGGGTTGGGGGATCTCCTAGCAAGGGTTGGGGAGGGGTGCCGTTCCCCATCTACTGGCGAGGGTAAGGCAGGGTGCGGTTTCACATCTGTTTGTGAGGTTGGGCACCTCTGGATTTTGCTGCAGAACGTGACATTCCAGATCCCGGTTGTATAAAGCCTTAATGATACATTAACTTGTCATAAACCATCCATTAATACTTCAGCTATACGTGGGCGCTTTTTAACAAAACCCGTGACGTCATTACACACAATCAGGCAGGCCAACCATTGTGTTCATCTGATCCTCATTTCCGTTGGCGAATGTGACACACTGGGAAAAGGACTTGGGACCTAGTCTGCGATCAAACAAATTACTCTAACGAGCGAGAAATCCTGTACTGTTAGAGACAGGAACGATAGATCATCATAGATTGTATATAGAGTACCCTGCAGGGCCGAGGATGTCCTGAATGGTCTCACCTGCAATCAGATACACAACGGCAAACGTAGCGATGTGGGAGCGGCCGCTCTTGCCGAAGAAGGTGGGCACCACGAGTAGCACGATGCACCGCACGGATGTACTGAGGCCAAACCCCAGGGCAACGGCCACGCCAAGAACCCCGCCTACAACCTGGCACGTTGCCAGGGGCAACTTGATGGAATCAATTACAGTATAGTGGAGGGCTGAAAGGTACAATGGTACAATGGTGAGAGAGAGAGAGGGAGAGAGAGAGAGAGGGAGAGATAGAGAGAGGGAGGGAGAGAGAGAGAGAGAGAGGGAGAGAGAGAGGAGGAGAGAGAGAGGGAGAAAGAGAATGAGAAAGAGAGAGAGGGAGGGAGAGAGAGAGGGAGAGATAGAGAGAGAGGGGGAGAGAGAGAGGGAGAGAGGGAGAGAGAGAGGAGAGACAGAGTGAGAGAGAGAGTGAGAGGGAGGGAGAGTGAGAGAGGGAGAGATAGAGAGAGAGGGGGAGAGAGAGGAGAGAGAGGAGAGAGAGAGTAAGAGAAGGAGAGGGAGAAAGAGAGGAGAGAGAAAGAGAGAGGGAGAGGGAGAGAGAGAGGAGAGAGAGGGAGAGGGAGAGAGGGAGAGGGAGAGTTAGAGAGAGAGAGATAGAGGGAGAGGGAGAGAGAGAGGGAGAGAGGGAGAGAGAGAGGAGAGAGAGAGAGGGAGAGAGAGATAGAGAGAGAGGGAGAGGGAGAGAGAGAGAGAGGGAGAGAGAGAGAGATTACTCCTCTCACCGACTAACTACGTGTTTTCCTCTAGATGTTAATGTCCTCCTTGTCTATAAAAGATCAAACTCAAAAGACCAGACACATAACATTTATGCTGATTTTACCAAACGGAGTGCGAGGGTTATTCCGTGTATACTCTTCAAGGAAACGCAGTACGGATATTTTGGGTCATAAAAACAAGATTAGCAGACCAAGAGATGCAAAATGAAGAGGTTTAATGTATCATAGTATCAGTGAAAACATTCCCACATCAAAAGGATGCCAACCATTAGTCGGGAAACACGGACGATTCGACAAAACGCACCCAGTGCATTAACAAAAGAGCCATGGAGCTGAACGTACTGCACGTGCAGCAGAACTTTGAACGGCATTAAAGTACAGGGTTTTTGATTGCCTGGCATCTGCGTCAATCGAATAGTGACAGTTCAATAACATGCCAAGATTTACAGACGTGCAAAGAAACAACGTCATATGCCGCTTGCAGATAGGGGAATCCCGATCAGCTGTAGCCGGGGTTTTCAATGTAGCGCCCAGCACCAAGGCTATGGGATCGGTTTCAACACATGATCGGCCAAGGTCGGGACGACCAATAGTAACCACGGCCGCCCAAGATCGTTACATTCAACTGCGCCACCTACGTGAAAGGACGACCGCAGCCACCTCATCCCAAATGCCTGTACTGCAAAGAATATCTGACGTTTAAGAGCAGCAGGTCTACGAGCAAGACGTCCTGTTCGACGCCGAATATTGAGTTGACAACATTGTCAACAACAGGGTATGGCCTCAACTGCGATGGAGAGATGTCTGGTTCAGCGACGACACGTCCTCCAAATTGCACCCAACGGCAACGGTGTATTCCAGCAGGACAACGCTCGACTGCATACAGCAGGGATCACAAGAGCCTGTCTACAAAACAACAACGTTGACGTGTTCCCCTGCCCCGCCAGATACCCGGATTTGAACCCGATAGAGCACCTGCGAGATGAATTGAACAGACGGCTACGCCGACGTCAACCACAACCCCAGACGTGGCAGCAGTTGGCTTTTGCCGAGTGGGCTACCATTCCCCAGGACGTGATTCGCATGCTCGTCTCTTCCATGGGTAGAAGATGTCAGACCGCTGTCGATTCCAACGGGGGACATACGCGTTATTGATGGTAGCTGACCTTCGCCTTTGACTTTTCTTATGTACCGATAACTGAGATGACGACAAACACCAAGTGTTCTCTTCACAACATTTAGGCTCAGGACCTTGTACGGTTCCTCGCATAAATATATTCTCCTACCTAACGCCTTTGCGTTTCAATTTTTGAAGAGTATACATGAATTCTTACACGAGTTTTGTAAAATCGATAAGACACACATGAGAGTGTTATAATCTCTTTATTACCCATTGTTTCTTAATCCCTTTGAGCTCCCCTTTAGAAAATCCACGAATCACGATCGCCGTCTTAGGAAACCACAATTGCCGAATGAGCTATGACGTCGTTTCTATAGTGACGTCATTCTGACCTTTCGTCACAATAAAACTCAAATGGCGTCAGCAATGCCGTGCGGATGACGAAAACAATACACTGGTGCGCTTGAAGTGATATTTGCCCGAGTGCACATACGCTTATTATAAACTGTTTTTTATACACCTGTGGTTATTATATAGAGAATCTCACCCGAGTGTCTTTTGATATCAAACATTTAAACACAAGTTGATAAAAGTGGAAAACACCGAGGCTTGCCGAGGATTTTCCACTTTTATCAACGAGTGTAGATGTATTTGATATTAAAAGACACAAGGGTGAGATTATATTTACCATCCAACATTCTTCCAACTTTTTCAGTTTTTAGACAGTAATAAGCAGTGTCAGTGTAAAAAGTACTGCAAACAGCTTCAGTAGCAGAGCCATTAGTGATGTCATTTGATTGTGACGTCATAGTAACCAATGACATCACAATGGTCTGCAAAGCATTGTACATGTGATGCAATTTCATTGCAGCGATATCTATGTTTGTTGCTGGGGTCATTGAGTGTGCATAAGCTCCTCTCAGTGGTCTATCATCTCCTCACGCATATCGTTGAATAAGCCAAGAGATGTTGAGAGCTTTCAATGTTTTTTAGTGGAACAGGTTCCCGCAGTACATGAGCACGCGCTTTGGTATTACACAATGTGTAATACAGCTGTATGTTGATTAAACAGGTGATCTCTTCACGGGCAAGTAATAAGATGTAGATATCGCTTGATCTCATCCAAGCGATACCCCCTGTGGGAGCCAGTTTTGGATGATAAATTTCATACTACCATGAATTTGGAAAATCAGAGGTATCAAGATCATAATAAGCCTCCTGTGATTGAAAAAGCCGATTTGACGGCCGCTAATATTTTTAGAATAGTACATCTTTAACAGTCATTGTCGGTAGGCATATTTAAATATTTTAATGTACAATTATAGGCTACAAAATGCAAAGTTGCCGTTAGTACAACATTCAAATAATGTGTGGCAATTCATTTCGTGCAGAAAACACGAAAGAAATCGGGAAAGAGAATATATTTCAAGTTTTGAGGACAACAGAGAACTTGGAAAATATATGACATCATAAAAGTGATGCGCTTTGTAAGGCTTTGCAAGGCTTGTCTCGTTTTATGTAGTGATGCCCACCTACATGCTTAGTGCCTGTCATATGTTCGTGTGAAGTATTACAGTGTAAACAAACTGCTTGTGGATAAAGAGCGCCATGTTTTGTTTACAGGCTGTTGTCGGTGATTCCGTAAATTCTGATCGACAACCCACTCAACACATTTAGTAACGGTAGGGAGGAGATAAACATTGTGTATTTGTATTGTGGAGCTAGGTTATCTGGAGATATTACCGCGCTAACTTTGAATTTGGAACCGAAGGCATGTTGCCGAATGACAGGGAAAGTACATTGTGCCGTTACTCCGCCGAGAATTGCCGAGCCTCTATAGTGTTATCTTGAAACTGAGCCCTATCAAACGGAGTTTAGCGAACATTACCGAGGATTGCTAATTGTAATGCAAATACGATAACTCTGAACGTGTTCACGTCGTCCGCTTGCTGTCAAAATGACAGTGAAACGGTTCGCTCGCAATAGCGATGAAGACATTTCAGATAAGCGGGTGAACGTAATGCCGTTATGGTAAGTTCAAACGGTCGGCGAGAATAACACAAGCTTGCACTCATCGAGCTCGATCCTCAGCTAATGTTATTTAGGCCAAATATAATTTTTTATAATCTTTACTCATTCATCTCTTCAGCTCGTATGTTTGACAAGTCACATTGAGGAGGGTACCACGGGGGTGCCTAGATGGATGCCGACAAACCACTGGTCATTTCATCTTTGTATTTACCACGAGAGCATTTCAGCGAGTCATTATGTACCAGGCGAGACATTACTAATTGACAGTGAATCATTATTCACCAGGCGGGACATTACTTATTGACAGTGAGTCATTATTTAACATGCGAGACATTACTAATTGACAGTGAATCATTATTTAACAGGCGAGACATTACTTATTGACAGTGAGTCATTATTCACCAGGCGGGACATTACTTATTGACAGTGAATCATTATTTAACAGGCGATACATTACTTATTGACAGTGAGTCATTATTTAACAGGCGAGACATGACTCCTACCTGTTGAGTCAGTCAGGGTGAGGGTTAGGGTCATTACCTACAAGGAGAATCATTACTTACCAAAAGCCACGACAACGCCGATGGGAAAGGCGATGACAGTTTTCAGTGTCCTGTGCTGGTCAGGCGGCGACCGTAACAATTCCTGGAGACGTTCACACAGCTTTCTGCAGCATCCGCATCGTTCTGAGTGCACTGGTAGGAACATGCACATGCGCAGTTAGGTTTATGCTTTAGACGTAGTTTCCTCGACACCTACGGATATCGACGAGACTCTGGACACTGACGTACACGGAAGCTGCATCAGCCTGTTGTTTATCTCGTCCAGATTCTACGACTGACCGGCAGCCCCTACACGTCCACTCACTCACTCACACACTCACTCACTCACGCACGCACGCACTCACTCACTCACTCACTCACTCACTCACTCACTCACTTACTCACTCACTCACTCACTCACTCACTCACTCACTCACTCACTCACCAGCTCACTCACTCACTCACTCATTCACTCACCAGCTCACTCACTCACTCACTCACTCACTCACTCACTCACTCACCAGCCCACTCACCAGCTCACTCACTCACACACTCACTCACTCACTCACTCACTCACTCTCTCACTCATCCTCTCACTCACTCACTCACTAACTCACTCACTCACTCACTCACTCAATCAATCACCCAATCACTCACCAGCGCACTCACTCACTCTACAGCCCACTCACCAGCTCACTCACTCACTCACTCACTCACTAACTCTCTCACACATCCTCTCACTCACTCACTCACTCACTCACTCACTCATACAAGCATACGTCTTTCACACATACACAGATATATATATATATGACATAACTAAAATAAAAGGTACTGATAGCATAGGTATTAAACTAATAACATTAACTAGCTACAATACTAACTTATGGCACAACTAATATTAACTACTGATCTACTAAATAATGAAATAAGCAACTAATGACAACTAAAGACATCACTAACATTAACTTATAATCTAACTAACTTATGGCATAACTAACTAACGACATAACTAACTTATGACTTTACTAATATTAACTACTGATCTAACTAAATAATGACATAACTAACTAAGGACATAACTAACATTAACTAATGATCTTACTTGTGAGTGAGTGAGTGAGTTTGGTTTAATGCCGCTTTTAACAGTATTCCAGTTATATCGCGGCGTGTCAGCTTAATGTGGGAGGAAAGCCCGAAGTGATGCAGGTCTAAGACGTTTACCACTTCGGTGAAACCCACGAGCACGGGTATGGTGCTGACAAACCTAGAAACATATTTGGGGCGAACCGGGAATCGAACCAGCAATCATAGGTTTCTGGCGTGTCCAAGGGACCCAACTCTGCACAGCGAATCGCGGCGCCTTAGACGACTGGGCCACCCGTGCCCCCTTATGATCTAACTAACTAATGACATAACTAACATTAACTAATAATCTAACTAACTAATGGCATAACTAATATAACTAATAATCTAACTAACTACTGACATAACTAATATTAACTAATGATTTAACTAGCTTATGACATAACTAATATTAACTAATGATCTAACTAACTAATGACATAACTAATTTTAAAGAATGATCTAACTAACTAATGCTCTGACTAAATAGCAACCGGACGGATGGATCAGCTCTGCAAAGTGGATTGTACAAAATTATGCAGTAAATATGAATAAAAATGCCAAATTCTCAACTACAATTCAGCCCACGTAAAGGTAGGCTCTAGTGTTTCCGTAATGCCAGTCCCGTCTTCCCTCAGAATATCTGCTGGTGGCCCCGTATCCATATATGGGTACCCGGTGGTCAGAATGGGTCAAGAGTATCCGGGATCCTGTGTTTTACCAACAATTACTGTACGTGTGCATGTTTTTCCCAACATACTTTCCATGAACCTCAGGAAACAGACGTAAAATATCTGTAACTTGTGTACAGTTCTTGACAAAGACGTTCTTAAAAGCATCGGGATTTATCGTCGCGTCTGTAGCCCACGAGTACTCGCACTTGGCTTCAGGTACGAAGGTGGCGTGTTCGATCTATACTCGGGAAAAACAATTGTTTGTTTTATTTTATATTTCATTACATTATGCCCAAATGCAAAATATATTTTAACGGAGAAACATTCATATATTACAATATGAAATTAGTTTCATAAAGCCGACATTGAAGACGTATTTACACCTTTGTATGTACAGGTGCGTTTCAAGACATACGTGATAAAACTAGCAAAATAGATGATAAAAATGGTTTTCAGTAATTATGTCATGCTTTTTCATACTTTTAAACTATAGTTGACCTCGGTACACAAGAGCATGGAGGGAACATATATGCTTAAGATAGCGAAAGGGGGCGGTCGGGTAGCCTAGTGGTTAAAGCGTTCGCTCGTCACGTCGAAGACCCGGGTTCGATTCCCGACATGGGTACAATGTGTGAAGCCCATTTCTGGTGTCCCCCGCCGTGATATTGCTGGAATATTGCTAAAAAAGGCGTAAAACCATACTCACTCACTCACTCAGATTGCGAAATAAAACATGTAAGTAAACACACAAAAAACATGCATTCACCGTGATTTTTTATATATTTCCAATACTATTAAATAAGACTAAGTACGTATGTGAATCACACGGCATTTGTGGAATGATAATTTACATAATGCAGGGTACAAAAACAAATAATGAATACTGTTTAATACATCAAAACGAAAGCACTTTTACAATGAAAGCATTTTGACATTCAGAAATCAATTAGTGGTATTGTGTGTAGTTACTATATAATTCTATGTCATTTATTGAATCAATCGAGATTAATATGTGTGGCTAAAATATTATAACGGCTGTTTAATCTTGAACACAGTTTGGCAACTTTCTTAGTGCATTCCATTCCCTTTCTCAACTATATGTACATTAGTGTCTTGGAACATCACGCCTTCAACCAGATATGTACATTAGTGTCTTGGAACATCACGCCTTCAGCCAGATATGTACATTAGTGTCTTGGAACATCACGCCTTCAACCAGATATGTACATTAGTGTCTTGGAACATCAGGCCTTCAACCAGATATGTACATTAGTGTCTTGGAACATGACGCCTTCAACCAGATATGTACATTAGTGTCTTGGAACATCACGCCTTCAACCAGATATGTACATTAGTGTCTTGGAACATCACGCCTTCAACCAGATATGTACATTAGTGTCTTGGAACATCACGCCTTCAACCAGATATGTACATTAGTGTCTTGGAACATCACGCCTTCAACCAGATATGTACATTAGTGTCTCGGAACATCACGCCTTCAACCAGATATGTACATTAGTGTCTTGGAACATCACGCCTTCAACCAGATATGTACATTAGTGTCTTGGAACATCAGGCCTTCAACCAGATATGTACATTAGTGTCTTGGAACATCACGCCTTCAACCAGATATGTACATTAGTGTCTTGGAACATCACGCCTTCAACCAGATATGTACATTAGTGTCTTGGAACATCACGCCTTCAACTAGATATGTACATTAGTGTCTTGGAACATCACGCCTTCAACCAGATATGTACATTAGTGTCTTGGAACATCACGCCTTCAGCCAGATATGTACATTAGTGTCTTGGAACATCACGCCTTCAACCAGATATGTACATTAGTGTCTTGAAACATCACGCCTTCAACCAGATATGTACATTAGTGTCTTGGAACATCACGCCTTCAACCAGATATGTACATTAGTGTCTTGGAACATCACGCCTTCAACTAGATATGTACATTAGTGTCTTGGAACATCACGCCTTCAACCAGATATGTACATTAGTGTCTTGGAACATCACGCCTTCAACCAGATATGTACATTAGTGTCTTGGAACATCACGCCTTCTACCAGATATGTACATTAGTGTCTTGGAACATCACGCCTTCAACCAGATATGTACATTAGTGTCTTGGAACATCACGCCTTCTACCAGATATGTACATTAGTGTCTTGGAACATCACGCCTTCAACCAGATATGTACACTAGTGTCTTGGAACATGACGCCTTCAACCAGATATGTACATTAGTGTCTTGGAACATCACGCCTTCAACCAGATATGTACATTAGTGTCTTGGAACATCACGCCTTCAACCAGATATGTACATTAGTGTCTTGAAACATCAGGCCTTCAACCAGATATGTACATTAGTGTCTTGGAACATCACGCCTTCAACCAGATATGTACATTAGTGTCTTGGAACATCACGCCTTCAACCAGATATGTACATTAGTGTCTTGGAACATCAGGCCTTCAACCAGATATGAACATTAGTGTCTTGGAACATCACGCCTTCAACCAGATATGAAAAGCATACGTCAACATGCCAAAATTTTAAAAGAAAACTGCGCCAAATTTTAACGGTGTCAAGCTATATACGGTCTCATTTAAAGGCCGGTCGCCGTGGAAATCTTGACGATCGTGACCTCTCCGTTCTAGTTAAAATTCACCGTCATTCGCTTGAAATACAAACATGGCAGGTTACTTATCTCGCCATATTTCGCAATCCGTAGCACTGTAAGGCCAACCTTTGGAATATAGTACCACACACTTTTCAAACACGTGACAATACCCAATTACGCAAATTGTCGTATTTTGTTGCCAGTCACACCGGTGAAACAATGCCCTGTGACGTCAGGGGTCATCGAGTGTGCATAACTCCTCCCAGTGATCTATCATCTCTACACTCAATGTCACTGAATACGCCAAGCGATGTAGAGAGTTTTGAATATTTGTTTACTAAATATAGCCTGCGGCGGCGCATTATGTAGCAAGCGCTAATTTATGAGAGCACTTTTATTTTCAATATATCATTTAGTTCTAATTTTTTTCGGAATTCAAGTGGCTACAATGGATATGGTTATAGATGGGAACTAATATACATATATTATTTTTTCGATTCATTAATTTCCATTTTTAAGCACAGGAATGCAGTTCATTAGGTATATTATATTGGCGCTGAACACATACAAATGTCGCCGGTGTTAGGGTAGGTCACCCGAACTCTATCCTTAGCCCTTGGATCCCCTTTTCGATCTAACAATCCTAGCTTTACGAACACTATAGGGTTAGGTACCGCTAATCGGCTATTATAGATTCCTTAAGATCCGGGATAGAATAGGTCTTCAGCAACCCATGCTTGCCGTAAAAGGCGACTATGCTTGTCGTAAAAGGCTACTAACGGGATCGGGTGGTCAGGCTCGCTGGCTTGGTTGATGCATGTCATCGGTCCCAATTGCGCGGATCGATGCTCATGATATCAATCACTTGATTGTCTGATCCAGACTTAATTATTAACAGACCGCCGTCATATAGCTGGAATATGGCTGAGTGCGGCGGTAAACAACAAACAAACAAACAAACAAACAAACTATTATGAAATGGGTTCGTGTCGAATATTTTGACTATTGGAAACTGTCCTGGAACATTCCCACAAACCGCTTTCACACGCTACATTTATACAGTACTAATTTCAAAAGCGAACTCACCCTTGTGTCGGGGGAACGGGTGGACCAGTAGCCTAAGGCGCCCGAATCGCTATGCAGAATTGCGTCCCCTGGGCACGCCAGAAACCTATGATTGTGGGTTCGAAACCCGGTTCATCCCCGATTATGTCTAGGGTTGTCAACACCAAACCCGTGCTCGTGGGTTTCGAGTGGTAAACGTCCGATACCCGCAGGGCTTTCCTACCAAATTAAGCTGGCACGCTGCGGAATAACTAATACTGTTAAAAGTGGCATTAAACCCAACTCACTCACTCCCTAACTCTTGTGTCGGTGAAACGGGTGACGGCGATTCGGTATGCAGAGTTGCGTCCCTTAGGCACGCCAGAAACCTATGATTGTTGGTTCTAATCCCGGTTCGCCCCGATTATGTTTCTAGGTTTGTCCGTCAGCCGTTCGACCCTTTTCGCTCAGTTCCGTAACGGCGTAGGCATGATCAGTCGTTGAGCTGTCGGGCTAACAATCCGAGGGTCGCGAGTTCGCGCCGGACGGATTCTCACAAAAACTGGTTGCTTGTCTTTGAAACAGGTGTCCTACAGCAGAAAGCGTCCTCACGAGAAGTTGTGGTACTGTATTCTATAGGCGCTCCCAAATATGAGTTACACAGAGTTAAAACTGAGATAATATAGATTGTGCGTACTAAGTGTTTGACATTTTAATTCACAGCTGTAAAGGGACATTTTCACGATACAATATATGACCCCGCGGCACTGGGGTGTGTGAAAAGTGAAGGACCATATATGGCTCCGTGGCACTGGGGTGTGTGAAAAGTGAAGACCATATATGGCTCCGTGGCACTGGGGTGTGTGAAAAGTGAGGGACCATATATGGCTCCGTGGCACTGGGGTGTGTGAAAAGTGAAGACCATATATGGCTCCGAGGCACTGGGTGTGTGAAAAGTGAGGGACCATATATGGCTCCGAGGCACTGGGTGTGTGAAAAAGTGAGGGACCATATATGGCTCCGTGGCACTGGGGTGTGTCAAAAGTGAGGGACCATATATGGCCCCGTGGCACTGGGGTGTGTGAAAAGTGAGGGACCATATATGGCTCCGTGGCACTGGGTTTGTGAAAAGTGAAGGACCATATATGGCCCCGTGGCACCGGGTGTGTGAAAAGTGAGGGACCATATATGGCTCCGTGGCACTGGGGTGTGTGTAAAGTGAGGGACCATATATGGCCCCGTGGCACTGGGGTGTGTGAAAAGTGAGGGACCATATATGGCTCCGTGGCACTGGGTGTGTGAAAAGTGAGGGACCATATATGGCTCCGTGGCACTGGGTGTGTGAAAAGTGAAGGACCATATATGGCCCCGGGGCACTGGGTGTGTGAAAAGTGAGGGACCATATATGGCCCCGTGGCACCAAGAGGGTATAGGGAATATGCATAGCTATAAACTAGGAATTATATATCGATTATTACTATATTGATTATGGTGTAACAACATAGTCGCCAACTTGTAATACTGACGGAAACTATAACGCCCCTGATGGATGTTGTTTTGTAAAACTAGAGCAGCTGTAGAATATGTTCGCCACTACATGTATTAAATTCAATGATCCGAGGGCGAAGGAGTCGAGTTGGGGGTAACCTAAACTAACCCTAACGCAAATAACCTTATGGATCGAAAAGGAACACGTAAATATGTATTTTGCGATACTCCAGATATAATTATCTAGTTTTTAATAACATTGGGTACCGAACATATTCTATAATCGCACCGAAACCCTACCTTTTTTTCTGCTTGACGAAAATGAGGATGTGGATATCAAAGGTCTCTCTTCGTCGACGTCTGAATCTGCACTGTATATTATCTCATTCAGTGCCGCTGTGGGTCGAGACGACGCACTGCTGCTTCCCGTACTCTTGCTGTCACTGTCGTCCACGTCACTGGTTTCACTGTCGCTCATCATACTCTGGATAACTATCGAAGTTTTGACTAAATCGACCCAATCTTTTCCATGGAGAAAATTCGAAATATGAATGTATGACGTCTTTTCAAGTTATGACGTCATGGTCGTGTATTTTGACGTCATTGTGGGATACATGACGTCACGGTAGCGTATTTTGACGTCATCGTGGGAATCATGACGTCACGGTCAACACGTCAAAAGTCTATTGTCCGAGGTTTTGTTAAGGGTAAACAAATCGCCTCTATTAATGCTAAACATAGAAGTAAACTGTAAGCAAACAAACTACGGCCTAATATGGGTCGGGTCGGCCCGTTGAATCGATATGCCGAATTCGACCGAGTCGTATCATCTGAGTGATTAATCGAAATCGACAAAAGGGACAAATCGGCTGCTCGAACCCGCATCCATTGTGTCGCGACTGTGTAGATTCTGTTCTAGCTAATCGGCAAGTTGGATGTAGCGCGGCCAATCAAACTGCGTTTTGGAGTCACGTGATATGTGTTTACACACAAGCGGGAAACATGGCTTCGTCTGCTGCGAAGAAACCACGCATCGACTTTTCAAGAGAGGATACCGAGCGTTTTGAGGCTCACTATCTGAGTCCCGAAACACTGTGGACTGTCTCAAGCAGGGATTATTCCAAAAGACATAAGAGGAATGCTGCATTTACGGAGAAAAGGTTGTAATGAGACTGTTCATCCTCAATTTCTAATTCTTCAATTAGATTGTTGTATGCTCCAAGCATGTCGCGGCGGAGAATCCAGTCTTTCATCCCATTCGTGACCAACTCGTGTTATTCCGGGACAAGCCGAATAGCGACTCGTGAACCTCATTCGTGACCAACTCGTGGTATTCCGGGACAAGCCGAATAGCGACTCGTGAACCTCTCATGGCCATTTTTGCGACTGGTTTCCGTCTTAGCGCAAACGGGCATACCTAAAACAATTGTCAATTCGTTGCGTAATGGTTCATATATATTTCCCCATATATTATATATATTTCAGATGCAATTTAAAGCACATCGAGACGTGCGGAATTATACAGTATGCTTGAACACATTTAACTGTGTCTTGGGTATATTTTAGGTGCAAGACATATGTAAAATCAAAAATTATTTCTGAGGGATTTTTTGACAAAGAACTCGAAATTATACGCGCATTCTGATTGGTTTGTCGTATTTTCGCACATAACATTCATCGATAGGGGGACGAGTCTTCTTGCAGGTTACGGAAAGGGGCGAGTGGTGACGAATGTCTTTCGTCCAACAGCTTCTCTTTTTCTTGGCTTTGGCGTTGTCGTCTTCTCCACACCATAACGCGCACCAGATGACTGCTGCCACCTTGCTTCTGACATGTCGATACCATGGAAACAAATTACCGCAAGATATTATGAGATCGACATTCAATCGGCAGATCGAATCGTGTTGAGTGGTAGCAAATCGATCAGTCGATATTCATTCCAACCACCGAACGTGTTGTACAATGTATGGAAATCGGCAGGTCGTTATTTGACGTGTCGACCCGTGTGAGTCCCGCTTATCACGAAAATCAATGTTGGTATAATTTAGTTCACGAGTGTGTAGGCTGTAAGATTACAATCCGAGTGTTTTGTCGTATACAGTATATATATCATAGTAGGAATATATATTGTATTGTAATAATCATCACATGTCTAATGCACCCCCGTAGCTACGTCTTGGACGTGACGTCACGCCTTCTCCGTGTTCCTATCTCCAATGTGTCACGCAGATTTTCCCTCACTACTCAAAAGAACGACTATTTCACTGGATAATCGAGGCTATTTCATACTGGATAATCGAGGCTATTTCACTGGATAATCGAGGTTATTTCATACTGGATAATCAAGGCTATTTCACTGGATAATCGAGGTTATTTCATACTGGATAATCGAGGCTACCGTTGTATGATAAATAATCAATATTGAAACCAGTGTCCTCTTCCACCAGGCGATTGTAGCGCAAGGACAGTCGTAAGTCAACGTTAAAGTATGGGAATTATCATAACCTTAGCGCCGAGGTGAAATGGAACTACATCATGGGACGCAGTGGAGAAATGTATTTACTACTAACGTAAACGTGAAGTATTATCGGACTTCAGCGTTGAATTAACAGGGGCGTATGAATACGACATCTGCAGCTGATGATTTACTCAGCCTGTTTACTCAGGGTATAACCTAGTAACAGCGCGCATCATCCTTCTCGATTACAACACGGATAAGATGCAGTTTAGACTGTAGTCTGCCCACAAGCAAGTCAGAAACATCTGCATTCAAACACAGTTCACCCTAAATATACATAGTCCGTCTCGTGAAGGAACTTATTACAGAAAGAAAGAAATTGTATGGAAACAAAATGTGAAAATTTAGGCATTTTAATTATAAAATATTATTATTTCCCTTCCTTCAAATCACACAAGAAGATGTTTAAAAGGGAATCTAGTAATTCATGAATATTCGAAGAAAGTCATGAAAACAAAACAGTCGCACCAAAGTCGTGTTTCCATTTATATACAATTATATGAAAATAGTTGTAAGTGAACAAAACGATTGGTAATGTTTTAATAAGGGGGAAAAAGAAGTTCGAATGACAATCGCTTGATATAATTCTAACAAAATCACCCCGCAGTCCCACCTCAACGTTCGTTTTAAAATCTTTAAAGTTAAAAAAAAATAAAATATTACGGTAATCTAAATGTTGTCATGGCTAGTGGGTTATCTGGGGACTAGGTACTGATCAGATGTGACAGGGGAAGACATGTCCACCTGTCTCACGCGGGGGTCGTTGTGGAAGGTGAAGATGAAGAGAAAGTGAATTGGATAAGCCCCGTAAATAACAGGTCTCCAGCAACCCATGCTTGTAGGAGGCGACTAACAGGATCGGGTGGTCAGACTCGCTGACTTGGTTAATACATGTCATCGTGTCCCAATTGCGTAGATCGATGCTCATGATGTCAATCACTGGATTATCTGGCCCGTTCTCAATAATTTACAAACCGCCGTCAAATAGCTGGAATTTTGCTTGGTGCGGCATTAAACAACAAACAAACAAACAAACTATAATCGATGACGGTGACAGCTGCACACTTCATCGCATAGGTTGGGAAGGTTGTTGTTGGGGAAGGTTAGGAAGGGGGTTGCTGGGGGAGGTTGGGAAGGGGGTTGTTGGGGGAGGTTGGGAAGGGGGTTGTTGGGGGAGGTTGGGAAGGGGCTTGTTGGGGAGGTTTGGGTGGGGGTTGTGGTGGGAGGTTGGGAAGGGGGTTATGGGGGAGGTTGGGAAGGGGTGAGTGAGTGAGTATGGTTTTACGCCGCTATTAGCAATATTCCAGCAATATCACAGCGGGGGACACCAGAAATGGGCTTCACACATTGTACCCATGTCGGGGATCGAACCCGGGTCTTCGGAGTGACGAGCGAACGATTTAACCACAAGGCTACCCAGCCGCCCCTATTGGGAAGGGGGTTTTGGGGGCAGGTTGGGAAGGGGGTTGTGGGGCAGGTTGGGAGGGAGAGTTGTGGGGGCAGGTTGGGAAGGGGGTTGTGGGGGCAGGTTGGGAGGGGGGTTGTGGGGGCAGGTTGGGAGGGAGAGTTGTGGGGGCAGGTTGGGAAGGGGGTTGTGGGGTCAGGTTGGGAGGGGGGTTGTGGGGTCAGGTTGGGAAGGGGGTTGTGGGGCAGGTTGGGAGGGGGAGTTGTGGGGGCAGGTTGGGAAGGGGGTTGTGGGGGCAGGTTGGGAGGGGGGTTGTGGGGTCAGGTTGGGAGGGGGGTTGTGGGGGCAGGTTGGGAGGGGGGTTGTGGGGGCAGGTTGGGAGGGAGAGTTGTGGGGGCAGGTTTGGAAGGGGGTTGTTGGGGCAGGTTGGGAGGGGGGTTGTGGGGTCAGGTTGGGAAGGGGGTTGTGGGGCAGGTTGGGAGGGAGAGTTGTGGGGGCAGGTTGGGAGGGGGGTTGTGGGGGCAGGTTGGGAGGGGGAGTTGTGGGGTCAGGTTGGGAAGGGGGTTGTGGGGGCAGGTTGGGAAGGGGGTTGTGGGGGCAGGTTGGGAGGGGGGTTGTGGGGTCAGGTTGGGAAGGGGGTTGTGGGGGCAGGTTGGGAGGGGGGTTGTGGGGGCAGGTTGGGAGGGGGGTTGTTGGGGCAGGTTGGGAAGGGGGTTGTGGGGGCAGGTTGGGAGGGGGGTTGTAGGGGCAGGTTGGGAAGGGGGTTTTGGGGACAGTTTGGGAAGGAGGTTGTGGGGGCAGGTTGAGAAGCGCCCTAAAATTCCTACGTTCGCCAGATCTCACAATGACACATGTGACCCGGAGATCCGACCACAAAATAAATTGTGCCCGATATTGCTTGAAAAAAATGCTTGCGCTTCTGACTGTTTAAAATGAAAGAAATTGTCAACCACCCTAAATACATTGTTGCAAGCTGGGTTTTTTGACAAATATATTAAGGTAAAAAATTTTTTTTGTTGCAAATGTAGTTGAAACAATAGCTGACCTCCGTACAACACAACCTGAAAATTTCTCGTGGTCCGAACGTGTGCCGTGCCGAACAGTAACCGAAAAAAGGTCAAAGTTCCAGCTAAGTTTGACTCCCGTGTTTAGCTTCATGGAGTCCCACCAAAACACAGCTGAGAGGCTGTGAAACTGCGCCACTGCTAGTGTCGGGGTAGTTCATCTGATCTTCGGAGTATCGCCGAGTCGCTGACATACCACGCAACGGAAGACACCATTCTGGTCACACAGGGAACGACCCTGACCGTTGTGTTTCAAATAAGTGTAGCCTCCCTTAGACCAAGACAGACCCTTGACTTTAGTGGATGAGTATGGTTTTACGCCGCTTTTAGAAATATTCCCGCAATATCAAGGCGGGGGACACCAGAAATAGGCTTCACATATTGAATCGAACATGGACGAGCGAACACTTTAACCACAAGGCTTATCAGCCAGCAAAATAGCAAAATAGCAAAATCAATCAATAAATCAATAAATCAATAAATCAATAAATAAATACCGTGATTGATAGACAGCTGTGTGCTTCACCGTGATTGATAGACAGCTGTTTGCTTTACCGTGATTGATAGCTGTTTGCTTGACCGTGGTTGATAGACAGCTGTTTGCTTGACCGTGGTTGATAGACAGCTGTTTGCTTGACCGTGATTGATAGACATTTGTTTGCTTGACCGTGATTGATAGCTGTTTGCTTGACCGTGATTGATAGCTGCTTGCTTTACCGTGATTGATAGACAGCTCTTTGCTTTACCGTGATTGATAGACAGCTCTTTGCTTCACCGTGATTGATAGACAGCTCTTTGTCTACCGTGCTTGACAGACAGCTGTTTGCTTGACCGTGATTGAGAGACATTTGTTTGCTTGACCGTGATTGATAGCTGTTTGCTTGACCGTGATTGATAGCTGTTTGCTTGACCGTGTTTGATAGACAGCTCTTTGCTTTACCGTGATTGATAGACAGCTCTTTGCTTTACCGTGATTGATAGACAGCTCTTTGTCTACCGTGCTTGACAGACAGCTGTTTGCTTCACCGTGATTGAGAGACAGCTGTTTGCTTGACAGTGATTGATAGACAGCTGTGTCCTTCAGTGTGATGGATAGAAAGCTGTTTGCTTGACCGTGATTGATAGCTGTTTGCTTGACCGTGATTGATAGCTGTTTGCTTGACCGTGATTGATAGTTGTTTGTTTGACCGTGATTGATAGACAGGTGTGTACTTCACCTGTAATTGATAGAAAGCTCTTTGCTTGACCGTGCTTGACAGACAGCTGTTTGCTTCACCGTGATTGATAGACCACTCTTTGCTTTACCGTGATTGATAGACCACTCTTTGCTTTACCGTGATTGATAGACAGCTCCTTGCCTCGCCGTGATTGATAGACAGCTGTTTGCTTCACCGTGATTGATAGACAGCTCTTTGCTTTACCGTGATTGATAGACAGCTGTTTGCTTCACCGTCATTGACAGACAGCTGTTTGCTTCACCGTGATTGAGAGACAGGTGTGTGCTTCACCGTGATTGATAGACAGCTCTTTGCTTCACCGTGATTGATAGACAGGTGTGTGCTTCACCGTGATTGATAGACAGGTTTGTGCTTCACCGTGATTGATAGACAGCTCTCTGCTTTACCGTGATTGATAGACAGCTCTTTGCTTTACCGTGATTGATAGACAGCTCTTTGTTTGACCCTGATTGATAGCTGTTTGCTTCACCATGATTGATACACATCTGTTTGCGTCATCTTGATTGATAGACATATGTGTAGTTCACCGTAATTGATAGCTGTTTGCTTCACAATGATTGATAGACAGCTCTTTGCTTCACCGTGATAGACAGCTGTTTGCTTCACCGTGATTGATAGACATATGTGTAGTTCACCGTATTTGATAGCTGTTTGCTTCACCGTGATTGATAGACATCTGTGTGCTTCACCCGTGATTGATAGACAGCTGTTTGCTTCACCGTGATTGATAGACATGTGTTTGCTTCACCGTGTTTGAAAGCTGTTTATTTAACCGTGATTGATAGCTGTTTGCTTCACCGTGATTGTTAGACATCTGTGTGCTTCACCCGTGATTGATAGACAGCTGTGTGCTTCACCGTGATTGATAGACAGGTTTTGCTTCACATTTGATTGGTAGACAGCTGCAAACTTTACCCGCGATTGATAGACAGCTGGGTGCTTCACCTGTACCTTGATAGACAGCTGTGTAGTTCACCTTGAATGTTGGACAGATGTGTACTTCATCCGAGACTGATAGACAGCTGTGTGCCTTACCCGTGATTGATAGACAGCTGTGTGCTTTACCCGTGATTGATAGACAGCTGTGTGCTTTACCCGTGATTGTGAGACAGCTGTGTGCTTTACCCGTGACTGATAGACAGCTGTGTGCTTTACCCGTGATTGTGAGACAGCTGTGTGCTTTACCCGTGATTGATAGATAGCTGTGTGCTTTACCCGTGATTGTGAGACAGCTGTGTGCTTTACCCGTGATTGATAGACAGCTGTGTGCTTTACCCGTGATTGTGAGACAGCTGTGTGCTTTACCCGTGATTGATAGACAGCTGTGTGCTTTACCCGTGATTGATAGACAGCTGTGTACTTCATCCGTGATTGATAGAAAGCTGTTTGCTTCACCGTAATTGATAGACAGATGTGTACTTCACCTGTAATTGATAGAAAGCTGTTTGCTTGACCGTGATTGATAGACAGTTGTTTGCTTGTCCGTGATTGATAGCGAACAGCGAACTTGTCACGTAAAGTGTGAAATATATACCTCACTGTACGAGGTACTAAAAACTATATAAGTTATGGATGTCAACTTCTTTATTATGGGGAACACGTTTCGGAGTATATACTCACTCCTTCAACATATATACGTACATATATACGTACCTTCAAGAGCAACAAAAGTACAATGTAGAAACTTAACAAGGGAAGCCAACAGTTAATTGGCGCTGATAGATGATTATTAATAGACAATGGACGCCTACAGATAATTGGCGCTGATAGGTGATTAGCAATGGACAATGGCAGCCAACACTTAGCAGTAAATTAGCGCTGATCGATGACAGCGATGGACAACTTTGGAAGACAGGGCATGAATTATCACTGACAGGTAACAGATCACCAACAATGGACAAACGGGTAATTAGCACTGATAGGTAGCATATCACCAACAATGGACAAACGGGTAATTAGCACTGATAGGCAACAGATCACTAACAATGGACAAACGGGTAATTAGCACTGATAGGCAACAGATCACCAACAATGGACAAACGGGTAATTATCACTGATAGGTAGCATATCACCAACAATGGACAAACGGGTAATTAGCACTGATAGGCAACAGATCACTAACAATGGACAAACGGGTAATTAGCACTGATAGGCAACAGATCACAAACAATGGACAAACGGGTAATTAGCACTGATAGGTAGCATATCACCAACAATGGACAAACGGGTAATTAGCACTGATAGGTAGCATATCACCAACAATGGGCAAACGGGTAATTAGCACTGATAGGCAACAGATCACAGACAATGGACAAACGGGTAATTAGCACTGATAGGCAACAGATCCCTAACAATGGACAGACAGGTAATTAGCACTGATAGGTAACAGATCACCAACAATTGACAAACGGGTAATTAGCACTGATAGGTAGCATATCACCAACAATGGACAAACGGGTAATTAGCACTGATAGGCAACAGATCACTAACAATGGACAAACAGGTAATTAGCACTGATAGGTAACAGATCACCAACAATGGACAAACGGGTAATTATTACTGATAGGCAACAGATCACTAACAATGGACAAACAGGTAATTAGCACTGATAGGTAGCATATCACCAACAATGGGCAAACGGGTAATTAGCACTGATAGGCAACAGATCACTAAATATGGACAAACAGGTCATTCGCACTGATAGGTAGCATATCACCAACAATGGGCAAACGGGTAATTAGCACTGATAGGCTACAGATCACTAACAATGGACAAACGGGTAATTAGCACTGATAGGCAACAGATCACTAACAATGGACAAACAGGTAATTAGCACTGATAGGTAACAAATCACTAACAATGGACAAACGGGTAATTAGCACTGATAGGTAACAGATCACCAACAATGGACAAACGGGTAATTAGCACTGATAGGCAACAGATCACTAACAATGGACAAACAGGTAATTAGCACTGATAGGTAGCATATCACCAACAATGGGCAAACGGGTAATTAGCACTGATAGGCAACAGATCACTAAATATGGACAAACGGGTAATTAGCACTGATAGGCAACAGATCACTAACAATGGACAAACAGGTAATTAGCACTGATAGGTAACAAATCACCAACAATGGACAAACGGGTAATTAGCACTGATAGGCAACAGATCACCAATAATGGACAAACGGGTAATTAGCACTGATAGGGTATAAACTAGAATGAAATTGTGTAAGTATATACTCCGAAACGTTGTGTTCCTCATAATAAAGAAGTTGACATCCATAAATTCCTTTCCTTGTGTGTATCACTTCTTAATGCCTTTCAAAGACATAACTAAAAGTTATTTAGGTATATGATACGAGAAAAGAGAAAAAAAACCTACGTCGCAGGATTGTTTGGGAAATTGAACCTATGCTTTTGTGATAGAAACGTTCTAATGCCCTTCAAGAACGCCACGGAGGAACTGGAGAAACGTGTTGTGTAGTGTCTGTGCGGCGAAAGTCAACACCCAGGTAAAAATACCAGGTAATTGCTTCTGGTTGTGTTGGTCTCCCTTTACATGGCGCTGATATACAAAACTCCTTGTATGCGAAATAAGTAGCAGACTACTTACATTAAGAATCTTAAACGGACCCAAAGAGGCAGAAACTGGATTTTGTATATTGATAACAAGATTCTGACGGAGTCAGGGGAGATAATCATATTTTCTTGACTGTCAACGGGCTGAATTGAATACCGTGTAACAAAACTAGTGGGCGTGTTTGGTTGAGATAGGAGGAACGCTTTATGATGGGATTAGAGAGCTGACACGAGGCCATTTAATTAACGGACTATAGTGCTTTACATCATTAAACAACACGTCTGGGGAGTCACATTGTAATGTAGTTGTCGGTGTGTCAGGCTTGACTTGGATCATGCCCCGTAACAACTAGCGCCCCAAAACAAGCATGTAGCTATTCCTGGTCATTTCAGATTGCCACGCGTCCACACTGGCACCGGGTCCGTCATGTAGCGGCAGACTCCACACGTCTACGAATCTCTGGCAATGAGTAACATCGATCAAGCTTCAATTACTAATGTACAGCTATGCCTTGTCCAATCACAGTATTTTGTTTGAGCATGAAATACGTGCAATTCGCCAAACTCTGCACCCACACTCCAGATTGTCCAAGATGGCGTCTGTGTGAAGTCATAATGCGCATGCGCCACATATAGCTTTACTTCTCAACCCCCACTTCTTGAACACCTGTATATAAAGTGATAGCGTGCAAGATTCGTTCATTCAGTTTCATCCAATCAACGCCTCTGTCCTCTCACGCGCTGACTAGCAGACGACAGAAGCAGACGACATTAAGAGCAGACGTGAAAGAGCAGAAGTGAGATTGACGCCGTGAATACTAACACAAAATGAGTACCTGGGCAATATCATGTCTTGTGACAGTTTGTTCAATCTACCTTGCGTCCGGGTATCCAGGTAAGTTTATCATTCATTCTGTCTTGACACGTGTATTTACTTGCGCTGTTCCACGAGACGATGAAGCACACGTACCGGGGTTAGGGTTAGGGTGTTTCTGAAACATTGCTATATTTAGTTGAAGAGTTGAAACGTGTTTCTGTAACATTGAAATATTTAGCGGAAGAGATGAAACATGTTTCTGAAATATTGATATATAATTCCTTTGTAGTGCAAGGTGTGTATCTCTGAAACATTGCTATATTTAGTTGAAGAGTTGAAACGTGTTTCTGAAACATTGGTATATAATTCCTTCGTAGTGCAAGGTGCGTGTTTCTGAAACATTGCTTTATAAGTCCTTTATGGTTCAAGGTGCGTGTTTCTGAAACATTGATATATAAATTATATTTAGTTCATGATGTGTGCTTTCTAAACACTGAAATAACTAGTTGAAGAGGCGTGTTTTTGAAATATTGATATAAAATTCCATTGTAGTGCAAGGTGTGTATTTCTGAAACATTGCTATATTTAGTTAAATAGTTGAAACGTGTTTCTGAAACATTGATATATAATTCCTTTTTATTGCAAGGCGCGTGTTACTGAAACATTGCTGTATAAGTCCTATATAGTGCAAAGTGCTTGTTTCTGAAACATTGATATATCATTCCTTTGTAGTTCAAGGTGCGTGTTTCTGAAACATTGATCTATAAGTCCTTCGTAGTGCAAGATGCGTGTTTCTGAAAAATAGATGTATAATTCCTTTGTAGTTCAAGGTGTATGTTTCTGAGACTGTTCTATAAGACCTTTGTAGTTCAAGATGCGTGTTTCTGAAACATTGATATATCATTCCTTTGTAGTTCAAGGTGCGTGTTTCTGAAACATTGATCTATAAGTCCTTCGTAGTGCAAGATGCGTGTTTCTGAAAAATAGATGTATAATTCCTTTGTAGTTCAAGGTGTATGATTCTGAGACTGTTCTATAAGACCTTTGCAGTTCAAGATGCGTGTTTCTGAAACATTGATATATCATTCCTTTGTAGTTCAAGATGCGAGTTTCTGAAACATTGATATATCATTCCTTTGTAGTTCAAGGTGCGTGTTTATGAAACATTGATACATAAGTCCTCCGTACTGCAAGATGCGTGTTTCTGAAACATTGATATGTAACTCCTTTGTAGTTGAAGGTGCGTATTTCTGAAACACTGATATGTAAGTCCTTTGTAGTGCAAGGTGCGTGTTTCTGAAACATTGATATATAAATCCTATTTAGTTCACGATGTGTGCTTCTAAAACACTGATATAACTAGTTGAAGAGGCGTGTTTTTGAAATATCTATAAATGTAGTTCAAGAGGCGTTTTTCTAAAACATTGATATATTAGTCTATGTTGTGCAAGGTGCGTCTTTCTGAAACATTGATATTTGTGTCAAATGTGGTTCAAGAAGCGTGTTTCGGAAACAATGATATATGTAGTTCAAGTGGCGTGTTCCTGAAATATTGATATATCAGTCTATGTCGTTCAAAATGTGCGTTCCTGAAACATAGATATATGTGTCATATCTGATCCACGAGACGTGTTTCTGAAACATTGCTATATATGCCCTACCTTGTTTTAGAGGCATGTTTCTGAAACCTTGATAAATATGTCCTATGTGGTTGAAGAGGCGAATTTCTGAAACATTGATATATATATGTTCTATGAAGTTCGAGAGGCAAGATTCCGAAACACTGAAATATATATGTCCTGTGTGGTTCAAAAAGCGTGTTTCTGAAAAATGATACAAAATGTTCTATGTGAATCAGCGAGCTTCTGAGAGAATAATGATATGTCCGATGTCGTCCAAGAGGCGTGTTTCTGAAACATTTATATATATATGTCCTATGTCGTCCAAGAGACGTGTTTCTGAAACACTGATATATATACACATGCACAAAAGTTAAGCGCCACCCACCATATTTGTGAGTTGTTACTTTTAGCACTTAATGATGACTATTATAACGTGATGTACTATTGTTATAAGCCGTATATGTAAACCTCATGTGATGCAAAAGTTGTCCGAGAGCAAGTTTATCTTGTGTTCCAAAAGAATATGAGCAGAAAGGAATTTTACCGAAGACCAGAAATTGAAGAATTAGAAAACATTGAACAACGTTTTTTGTCATGTAACTGTCATGATATCAGCAGACCATATCAGGTGTCACATAGACATCCTAGGGAGTGCAGAGTCTATTGCAAGACAGAAACGTCAGTAACGTGTGTATGATCCACGGACATTGACCACAGCTTCAACCCTACGCCTCATACTCATTACAAGTCGTTGAATGCTTCTCTGGGGCAAACGGATCCATTCTTTATGAAGTGCGGCTTCAAGTCCAGCGAGATTTTGAACTGGTAGATCACGATGTCTGATTTACCGGCCAAGAATGTCCCAGAGATGCTCAATCGGATTAAGATCCGGACTACAGGCCGGCCAAGGAAGAGTGGCAATAGCTTCTTGGCCCAAATAAGCCAAAACTGCCCGAGATCTTTTTGGTCTAGCATTGTCGTCCATGTAAACAGGTCGTGTCTGAAGAGGATGGTTGTCAAAATCAGGGACTACAACTGGACGAAGAACGGCATCTTGGTATTGTTGGCCATTCAGGTTTCACCTGAATTGTCACCAGCGGAAGTTTGCAGCCGAAGGAAACACAACCCCATATCATGACAGACCCCCCGCCACATACTAAGGTCTTCTGGGTGTTCCTTGGTGCAAAACGAGTGTTACGTTGCCTCCAAGCACGTATTCGACCATCAGCAGTTCGTTGCAGCATTCGACACTCATCAGACCAATGGATCCTTCTCCAGTTGGCCAAGTTCCATCGACTACGGGCACGACACCATATCAGACGATGCCGCATGTGCCTCTCAGTCAGTTGAGGACGTTTTACTGGTCTTCTGGCCTTATAACAAGCCGCTCTGGGGCGACGCCTTATGGTCATCGTCGAGAGTCTCTGATGGGTAATCCACTGCAGTCTTAAATCTGTTGAAGTGGCAAATGGATTCGTCTGACTATCCTGAAAAGACGTCTATCCTCTCTGTAAGAGGTCTTTCTAGGCCTACCAGACCTATGCCTGTCATTGACATCATTGGTTTGACCATGTTTGACAATCAAACGAGTGATAACTCAATGATGACGACCAATTTGTCTTGCAATGGCCCTGCATGACATGCTAGCATTTTTCATGCCTATCACTTGCCATCTTTCAGCGTTCGTTAACTTTCTCCTCACCATGGCTGATTTTCAACCTCTATTGGAAGGGGAATCTCACACAGGAGCAAAATGCAACCACGTGTCTGAAACTTGAATTTCACTATTTATAGGGTAGGGGAACTGCAGCAACACGTAAAGCACGCTTTCCTTGTGGTATCTGGACAAATTTGGGTTCATGAAACTATGGAAGCCTAATTCAGTCATACATCATCATATTTCGTATTTCTGATTCCCACACGTGAAATCAAGAGACTATGAATATTGTGGCGCTTAACTTTTGTGCATGTGTATATATGTCATATGAAGTTCAAGATGCCTGATTTTATTTCCCGCGTTTTGTAATTTCATTGTTTTTTTAGCTGTTAATAATTTCTTTTTCAAATCCCACTACATTTATAGTTTCTACCACATGTCAAACTCGATACATCACCCCACTCACGCTCGGAGAGGATCTCCTCTTTACAAAGTTGAACACAGCAATGAAGCATTATGCCCAAACACGAAAACCTAGCTTGGCCCTGAAGATTTAGTAATTGTATTTGCGTTCTGGTTGATCTGGGACTGATTGGAAGAATGCATCCTGTCAGTAATATGTTGTTCCTGAACTCCACAGCGTTGGTAGTGTAGATGAGGTCAATGATATGTTGTTCCTGAACTGTTCAGCCTTGGTGGTGTAGATGAGGTCAGTGATATGTTGTTCCTGAACTGTTCAGCCTTGGTAGTTTGGATGACGTCAGTGATATGTTGTTCCTGTACTGTACAACCTTGGTAGTGTAGATGACGTCAGTGATATGTTGTTCCTGTACTGTACAACCTTGGTAGTGTAGATGACGTCAGTGATATGTTGTTCCTGAACTGTTCAGCCTTTTGGTGTAGATGAGGTCAGTGATATGTTGTTCCTGAACTGTTCAGCCTTGGTGGTGTAGATGAGGTCAGTGATATGTTGTTCCTGAACTGTTCAGCCTTTTGGTGTAGATGAGGTCAGTGATATGTTGTTCCTGAACTGTTCAGCCTTGGTGGTGTAGATGAGGTCAGTGATATGTTGTTCCTGAACTGTACAACCTTGGTGGTGTAGATGACGTCAGTGATATGTTGTTCCTGAACTGTACAAACTTGGTAGTGTAAATGAGGTCAGTAATATGTTGTTCCTGAACTGTACGTCCTTGGTAGTGTAGATGAGGTCAGTAATATGTTGTTCCTGAACTGTAAAACCTTGGTAGTGTAGATGAGGTCAGTGATATGTTGTTCCTGAACTGTACAACCTTGGTGGTGTAGATGAGGTCAGTGATATGTTGTTCCTGAACTGTACAACCTTGGTAGTGTAGATGACGTCAGTGATATGTTGTTCCTGAACTGTACAACCTTGGTAGTGTAGATGAGGTCAGTGATATGTTGTTCCTGAACTGTACAACCTTGGTAGTGTAGATGAGGTCAGTAATATGTTGTTCCTGAACTGTACAAACTTGGTAGTGTAGATGAGGTCAGTAATATGTTGTTCCTGAACTGTACAACCTTGGTAGTGTAGATGACGTCAGTGATATGTTGTTCCTGAACTGTACAAACTTGGTAGTGTAGATGAGGTCAGTAATATGTTGTTCCTGAACTGTACAACCTTGGTGGTGTAGATGACGTCAGTGATATGTTGTTCCTGAACTGTACAAACTTGGTAGTGTAAATGAGGTCAGTGATATGTTGTTCCTGTACTGTACAACCTTGGTGGTGTAGATGAGGTCAGTAATATGTTGTTCCTGAACTGTACAACCTTGGTAGTG